TGGCCAACCATTTGGGAGAAAAAAATTAATAAGAGTTCCATCTGACACCAGGTACTAAATTAATTACAGGTGAATTTAAAATATAAATGTAAAAATTAAAAGAATAAAAGTACCTGAATAAAATTTAGATGAATGTTTCTCATAATCTTGGGGTAGGAAAGACCTTAGAAAATACAGGTGCTCTCAACCCCAAAAAAAGACTTGATTACAAAAAAAGTTAACTTGTAAATGATAAAAGATACTATAAAGTTAGAAGGCAAATGACAAACTAGAAAAAATACTTATAACCCATATAATAAGAAAATGGTCAATATTCTAATCACATAAAGTGCTCTTACAAACGAGATAAAGCCTGAATCAAAAACTGGGCAATTGACATGAACTGAAAAGCCAAAGCAGAAATATAGATGACTGATAAACATAAAAAGAAGCCGGGCATGGTGGCTCACACCTGTAATCCCAGCACTCTGGGAGGCCCAGATAGGTGGATCACTTGAGGTCAGGAGTTTGAGACCAACCTAGCCAACATGGTGAAACCCCATCTGTACTAAAAATACAAAAAGGTAGCAGAGCATGGTGGCGTGCACCTGTAATTCCAGTTACTCAGGAGGCTGAGGCAGGAGAATCGCTTGAACCCAGAAGATGGAGGCTGCAGTGAGCCAAGATAGCACCACTGCACTCCAGCTTGTGTCACAGCGCAAGACTCCATCTCAAAAACTAAAAATAAGACAAAATAAATCTCAACCTCACTAATAATGAAATAAATGTAAATTAAGATTAAGTATAATTTTTCACTTCTTGTACCAACTAAGAATTAAAAGGAATAACATTTCATTTGATGTAGGGTATAGGGAAGCAGGCACTCTCATTCACTGTGAGTGGAATGTAAATTGTACATGGATTTAACCTCTGTTCCTTTGGTTTCTCAACTGTAATATGGGATAAGAACAATACTGTTAGGGAGATGATATGTAAACAGAAGGAAAGCCTTTTTAGAGCACTTTAGTAGTGTGTGCCATACTGTTTCCTTACAGAAAAGTGCAGCAAGATGTTTATTGCAGCATTGCTCAGAATATCAAAACATTAGAAACAATCTAATCGTGCATCAATAAATTAAAATACATTATGGTCCACTGGCTACTAAAAATAGAGAGGGAGAACTTTAGGTGCTGATGGAAAATCAATCTTTCTTTCTTTTTCTTTCCTTTTTTTTTTTGAGATGGAGTTTCACACTTGTCACCCAGGCTGGAGTGGAATGGCATAATCTCAGCTCACTGCAACCTCTGCCTCCCAGGTTCAAGTGATTCTCCTGCCTCAGCCTCCTCAGTAGCTGGGATTACAGGGGCCTGCTACTACACCTGGCTAATATTTGTATTTTTTAGTAGAGACTGGGTTTCTCCATGTTGGCCAGGCTGGTCTTGAACTCCTGACCTCAGATGATCTGCCCACCTTGGCCTCCCAAAGTGCTGGGATTACAGGAGAGAGTCACCACACCCAGCCCCAAAAATATTTCTATAATTATATAATATATATATTTTTATTACACACACACATACACACACACGCATGCACGCATATATATATATATATAATTTTTTTTTTTAACAGAGGGTCTCCCTCTGTTGCCCAGGCGGTATGATCACAGCTCACTGCAGCCTTGACCTCTCAGGCTCAAGCGATCCTTCCATCTCAGCCTCCCAAGTATCTGGGACTTGCCACCATGTCTGTATAATTTTTTTTACCTTTTGTAGAGATGGAGTCTCACTATGTTGCCTAGGCTGGTCTTCAACTCCTGGGCTCAAGTGATTATCTACCTCAGCCTCCCAAAGTGCTGGGATTACAGCTGTGAGCCACCATTCCTGGCCTATAATATATCTTATGGATGAGTCACAAAAATTTATGTATAATATGCTATTACTAGTGAAATAAAACATAGTATATGTTTACATATGTGCATGGGGAAAAATTAGGAGGAACCACATCAAACATATATTAGTAATTATTGATGGGAAATGGGCTTGGGGAATGAGGGTTTTATTTATTTTATTCAGTTTAGTAATGTTTAGAACTTCTTGGTACAAGTTTGGTGCATGTATATTACCAGTTAAAAAACCATATATAATGCCAAATAAATAAGTATTTTCATACGTAACATAAATTAAAACTTTAAATTCCCTCAAATAAACTTAAAAAATATGCAAGACCTATATAAAATTTTTTGCTAAAACTTTGGGAAATCTTAAAAGAAAATTTACATAAATGAAGAGACATAATCCCGTTCTCAGAGGAGAAGACTGTATTGTATAGATTTTAATACCTCCCCTTTTAAATGTATAATTTGAAATATAATTACAATAAAAGTCTCAATTATATTTTTGGGAGGGGTAGGGAGAAGGTAAGGACTGAATCACAAAGCTATAATTAAAAAGTACACTGAATTTCATTTAAAAGAATGAGAAGGGGGAAAATAATTTTTAAAGAAAAGCAATAAGAGGGTACTTGTCCTAATATAATGCATAAGAATTGGAGTAAATAACTATTTGGGAAAAATGAAAAGTATTCTGCCTCATACTATATGCCAAAGTGAATTCCCCATTGATCAACATATTAAGAGTTAAAAAATAAAACCATAAAATTCAAGGGGAAAAAAGTGGGCATTATATAATCCTAGAGTGAATATCATAATGTCAAAGGCAAATAATATTTTTCAAGATTTATAGATATATTAGTCATCAAGAAAATGTAATAAAAACCACAATGAGATACTACTTCGCACCCAGTAGAATGGCTATAATTTTTTAAAATGAAAAAATAGTGTTAGTGAGGATTTAGAAAAAGTGGAACCCTCATATGTTGATGATAGGAAAGTAGAATGGTACAGCTCCTTGGTTTATTTATTTATTTTATTTTTTGAGACAGAGTCTCACTCTGTTGCCCAGGCTAGAGTGCTGTGGTGCCATCTCAGCTCCCTGCAACCTCCACCTCCTGGGCTTAAGCAATTCTCCTATCTCGGCCTCCTGAGTAACTGGGAGGACAGGTGCCCTTCACTATACCCAGATACTTGTTTTTTTTTTCCAGTAGAGACGGAGTTCCACCATGTTGCCCAGGCTGGTCTTGAACTCTGGACTCAAGTGATAGGCCTGCCTTGGCCTCCCAAAGTGCTGGGATTACAGGCGTGAGCCACCGTGCTCTGAAGTATAGCCATTTTGAAAAACAATCTGGTAGTTTCTCAAAAAGTTAAACATAAGTTACCATTTGACCCAGCAATTCCACTCCTAGTTATACACCTAAGAGAAATAAAAATATATGTCCATACAAAAAAACTTGCACACAGATCTGTATAGCAGCATTATACCTAACAACCAAAAGGTGTAAACAACCCAAATGTCCATCAACTGATGAATGGTTAAACAAAATGTGATATTCCATATAATACAATATTATTCAGCCATAAAAACAAATTAGGTACTGATATATGCTACAACATGCATGATCCTGAAAATCTTATGCTAAATGAAAGAAGCCGATCACAAAAGTCCAAATATTATATAATTCCCTTTATATGAAATGTCCAATATAGGCAAATCTACAGAGATGAAAAGTATGGACTAGCGGTTAGGGTTAGAGAAGATGGGGAAATTAATGGATGATACCTAAGTAGTATAATTCTTTTTGAGATAATGAAAATGTTCTAAAATTGATTGTGGTGAATGATTGTAGTCTATGAATACACTAAAAATTATTGAATTGTGTACTTTAAGTGGGGGAATTATATGGTATTTGAATTAAATCTCAATAAAACTACTCTAAAACATTATAGATATGACTAATAAGTCAGAAACATCAATAGTTTAAAGAAATAATAAAAATAAGAGGCTAACATACATTTATGTAATAAGTATCCTTACTATAGAAAGAGCTCTTTCTGAATTAATAATTAAACTATAAAAGCCCAATCGAAAAATGAACAAAACACTTGAACAGGCTATTCCCAAAAGAGGGAACACAAGTGACTAGAAGGCATATAAATAAATGTTCAACATCTCTAATAATGAAAGAAATGATCCTATTAAAAAATGTAACAATGTAACAATATACAGTGTTGGCAATGATGTGAGGGAATAAACATTTTCTTATCCAGACTATCTCGATTTGCTTGATTGACAGAGGAGTTGCCTTGAAAGCAAGATTGTCAGTGCTAAAAAGGGAAAATCTCAGGCAAAGCAGGATGAGCTGGTCAATCTAAGATGGAATTACAAATCAGTACAACCATTCTGCAGGGTAATTTGGCAATAGGATAAATAATTCATTTTATAAATATATAACCTTTGGCCCAGAAACTCTACTAACAGGCATTCATTCTAACAAAGCGTTCATTCATTCAACAAATATTTGTTTATTTTTTTCAGATGAAGTCTCACTCTTGCCCAGGCTGGAGTGCATTGGCACAATCTTGGCTCACTGCAACCTCGACATCCAAGGTTCAAGCAATTCTCCACCTCAGCCTCCCCAGTAGCTGAGACTACAGACATGTGCCACCATGCCTGGCTAATTTTTGTATTTTCTGGTAGAGACAGGATTTCACTATATTAGCCAGGCTTAAACTCCTAATCTCAGTGATCTACCCACCCTGGCTGTCCAAAGTGCTGGGATTATAGGCATGAGCTACCACACCTGGCTGAAATTTGTTTAAGAGTCAAATGTGTACTAGGTGTTGAAGTGGATGCTGGGGATGCCAAGATACACTTAAGAGGATGCTTTTTTTTTTTCATTCAGAGACAGAGTCTCACTGCTGGAGTGCAGTGGTGCCATCACAGCTCACTGTAACCTCGAACTCAGGCTCAAGGCATCCTCCCACCTCAGCCTCCTGTACCAGGACTTTTATCTGAAGTTTTTGTAACAAAGAAAAATTGCAAGCAACCTGAATGTTAAACAACTGAAGATTACTGAAATAAAGCATGTTTCATCTACACAATGAAGTACTCCACAGGCACTAAAAACAGCATTGTAGAAGAATATTTATTGAAACGGACACATGGATACACTACGCTGTTAAATGGGGGAGAAAAAGCAGGTTAGAAAATTGCACCAGTAACCCCAATTTGCAAATAAGATACATGTGTGTAAAAACAAATGCTTGACAGGACACATCCCAAAATGTTAACAGTGGTGTATCTCTGGGTGCTGGGATTAAGGATGAATTTCATTTCCTTCTCCTGGTTCATCTGTATTAAATGTTTTCCTCATAATAAACATCAATCACATGGATTACTTTTGCAACAACACCACAAAAAAGTCAACTGCATTTTAAAAAAAAACAAAAACAAACAAACAAACACCTTCCCATGCCCCATGAGTGGAAACCCCAAGGAAGATGGTTATAGAAAGTCAGATACATGTTCACTGCTTGATTTTGCAATAAGAGCTACCATTACCAAGTAACTACTGCATGCCAGGCATTCCAACAGATCCCCTTTGATCTTCACAAGACCCCAGTGAAATTGGCGTTCTTGTCTCATTCTACAGATGTTCTGTGACCCACTAGTAATCCCATGACTAGTGAGAGGAAGAGCTAGGATTTAAACCCTGGCCTGTCTGTCTCTAAATCTGCAGGAGCCTGCTACTACCTAGGCTGCCTCTGTTTGTTCCTGGGGAAGGGAAGGGAAAGGTACTAAGCCACTAAGCCCTCTGTTCCACAGGCCAGATCTAGGCTGGCCCTTGTCCGCCCTCCCTGCAGACAGTCCAAAGAAAGGAGGACGAGTCAGCAAGGGAGGGGACATCAGCAAGAGGAGGCGAGGCCCTGGACAGCCAGCTGGCTGAGGTCAGGGCTCAGGGTGGACCAGCTGGGGACTCCTCGCCTGCTGGGCGACTCTCAGGAAGCCTGACCACATCTGTTCCCAGGAGTTCCCAGGCTCTGTGTGCCCAAAGGCAGTGACAGCAAACCTCACAAAGCCTACAGCCACTGTGATCAAACAGCCAGGGGAAAATGGGCTGCCATCTGGGCCCTTCTTCCTGGGCTTGCTCACCACCAGCCAGTGCTTTCTGCCCTCTGGGCCTCCAGGGTCTCCTCGCCTGGATGAGGAGGGGGTGTGAGAGCTGATGGCTCCAAGAGCCTCCCAGCTGGAATCCTGTGACTCCATGGGACTTCCTCGCATTGGGCCTGGCAGGAAGAGGAAGGGGGTGAGGTCTCCCCACCCAGCTCCAGAAGGAGCCCACTCCTCTTCCCCTCAGCTCCATTCCCACTGCTATTTTTAGAACAGACCGCAGGGAGCCTCTCCACCAGCCCCGCCATGCTCCTCACTGCAGGTAAAACACAGCAGCCCCATTCATTCTGCTCCAGCAAGCACACGCCAGGAATTTACAGACAAGCGGGAGGACCAGACAATCTCTCCCCACGCCATTAGCTGAGCTGCTTTCTCACTATTTCCGTTACAGCCCAACACAGTGACTTAACTTCCTAAGGCCAACACAGTGAGTTGCAGAGTGAGACAACTCTAAGACCATCTGTATACCCTCCCCCGCCCCCAGCCCAGCAGAATCATCAAAAGTCACCAATTACTTGTCCTTGGCCAAGTTTTTGCCTCTTTAGGTGTTGGTTTCACAACCTAGCTTGTTGTTTTTTTTTGAGACGGAGTTTTGCTCTTGTTACCCAGGCTGGAGTGCAATGGCGCCATCTCGGCTCACCGCAACCTCCGCCTCCTGGGTTCAGGCAATTCTCCTGCCTCAGCCTCCTGAGTAGCTGTGATTACAGGCACGCACCACCATGCCAAGCTAATTTTTTGTATTTTTAGTAGAGACAGGGTTTCACCATGTTGACCAGGATGGTCTCGATCCCTTGACCTCGTGATCCACCCGCCTCGGCCTCCCAAAGTGCTGGGATTACAGGCTTGAGCCACCATGCCCGGCCACAACCTAGCTTGCTAATTAATTGATCTCAGTGGAGGAGGGAAGAGGCTTTCCAGCTTCACATTCAAAGTTTCTATGGTTCTACCAATATTCTAGTCATTCATAAAATAAATACTATGTTCCCAAAGTCCACCTGAGTATTGAATGCACTTCCCCACTCAAAAGTATGTTACAGTGGTCAGCTCCTAGGCCAGCCTACTTAACCCTTAATATAGTCTTCTATCAAGTAGAAATGGTAGAAAACTATATTGCAGTAATAGACTGAAACCAAAACAGAAACACATTAACACTTAGGACAATTTTTTTGAAAATTTCTCTTGGGTAGTGTTAACTGAACAAAAGGGGATAGGTATTAAAGGTGACGAAAAAGTCAATGGCCGCTTCTGGGGAAGAGTCTGAAGGAGACTTCTGACCACACCAAAAACTAAAGGACCGTACACCAGTGACCACGAATTCCACTCGGAAATTAGCCTGGTGCCTTGGACTGATTGTTGGAAAGGTTAAAGAACATACTTGCATACATATTAGGTTGGCGCAAAAGTAATTATGGCTTTTGTCATTACTTTTCATGGCAAAAACCACAATTACTTTTGTACCAACCTATGTATACGTGAAGTTCAAACAAAAGAGTCCAGTGTGCGTTCAGCCACCTGAGCACAAAAGAAGGAGGGACGGGGAGGATATTGGGTTGGAGAGCCTGTCTTGTGCTGGCCTCCCACAGGGGAGGCTGGAAGAGGCACTTCTTGGTGAGAGGAGGCAGCAGTGTGCTCATAATTTGGGTGTCTGTGATGAGGATCCCTTCCTGTCTAAATATACCTAGGTGTGATGAGTACATGATGAATATTCACCAGAAACAATATTTGCATAGAGCCATACACATACACTCTATTTCAGTGTGAAAACTAAAATGTCTGTTCCCTTTCTTCCTTTTGCCTGCTATTAGAGGACCACAGCTTTGCAGTCTGCCCATTCTCCCCTCTGAAATCCCTCATGGAACTGTTTCAATGGAACACTATGCATCTCGAGACCGTGACTGTGATGAAGAACCTAGACAATTCTCACCCTAGACCAGGGTTTCTACCTTTTCTGAGGGAAGTAGCTACTTTATCCTCACCTTTATTGTTATATCCTGATATTCTGGAACCAGATGACTCCTGGAGACCATCTGAATTCAACTCCCTAACTTTTCTTGGTAAAAGAATGGAGGATCAGAGATGTGAGGCATTTTGCTCAAGATCACACAGTGAGTACAGCAAAATTAGGACTCGAGGCAAGATTTTCAGAATCTCTTTCTGGTTTTCTCTGCAAGCAAGGGGCTCGGTGAGAAGTAAGCCCACAATCCACACCAGCAGCTCCAACAGGGCTTCCTTTCCCTCTGGGGATTCCCCAGTGTCAGCATGGGAACATGGTGGCATCCATGACCCTGAAGTGAACCTTCATAGACCAAGTGCAGATCCATGCTCTGGTCTCCACAAAGCTGAAGCACGACAGAAAAAGCTCTGAATCCAAAGAATCAGGAGACCTGAGTTCTGGTCCTGGCTCTGACACTAACCTTGGCCAGGTCACTTCTCTTTTTGCACCTGTTTCCTCATCTAGATTCTAGAATATAGAAGAGTTTAACTGGACAGCCTAATTCAATCCTACAACCTCTACTGAGGACCTACTATGGACCAGACAACAATAGAATCAAAGACAAATAAAATAAAATATAACATCCACTTGCACCCAAGAAGCTCACAGTCATCCAGGTGCTAAGGATGAATTGTGCTAAGGGTGAAAAAAATACTCTGGGAACCATGAAGGTGAAAGTCAGGACTTCCGATGCATGCCTGAGAAAGGTGTTCTCAGAGGAGCTACTAAGCCTTGAAGGTTGAGGATTGCATCTGGCAGGGACAGCCGAGGAGGGCAGGCAATGTCAGTCAGATGAAACAGCCTAACTGTGAATGTGCATGGTGAGTTTAGAGAGGGGGAAATAGTGCGGTGTGGCCGGGCTCCAGGAGCAAAGCAGGAGTGTAGTGCTACCAAGGAGAGCCTGGAAAGCCAAGCTTTATTCTGAAGACAGTGGCCTCCCACAATGGTCTTTAAGTAGGAGTGTGACAGCTCAGCCTCCCTGGCCCTCCCAGCTTGGATGGTCTGCAGTTGCAGGAAAGCTATACAGCAAAATAATCAAAAGCAGGTGCCCTGGAGCTCAGCTTCAATCCTAGCCACCCACTAGCTGTGTGACCTTGGGCACGTTTCTTAACTTCTCTGGCACTCAGCGTCTTCATCTCTAAAGTGGGAATAATGAGAGTAAATGTATACCAGGAGTAACACACCTCATAAGTCTGCATGAGGATTAGATGAGACAGGGTAAATGAAAAGCTTGACTCTGTGCCTGGCTTATCTTGTAAGTGCCCACCAGATTACCTTCTGTTATCATTCTACCTTTAAAATCGGGGATCTGGAAACAGTTTGGTGGATGGATGGCCCTATTCAGAGAAAGTCTTCAGGGAAGAGAACGTGAAGACAGGGTAGAGGGTAAGGTTGCACTGTCTTCATCAGGAGCTAAAAAAGGAATAGCAAGATGGCTGAGACCAAGAGCAAGACAGCAAAGAAAGCAGCCCATCCACCAGCAGGGCAGCAGCAAGGAAGCGGGGAGGATAGCTGGAGGCTGCCTGGAAAGCGTTAACCTTTTTAGGGAGAAGAGTCTACATCTCCGGTTGGGGGAGATGGCAAAAGTCAGATCCATTTGATTCCCACTCACTAAGGGCTGAGATTCTAAGTCAGTCAATTAGCAAAATCTGGGCACAAAACCTGGCAGGTTCAGCATGGGCAGGCTCTCTCCGTGCCTTCAACTGGTCTCAGGTCAAAGGCCTCCTTCCAGTACTTACTGGGCACAAGCAGGCCTGAGTCTAAAGCTATCCCTCTCTGCCTTTGGCCAACATTCCATCACTGCCTAGCACTTCATGACTGTCTGCTGATCCTCTTGATGCCAAATTCAAAAGGGGAAGGGGTGTAACCTAACCATTCCAGAGCCCCCTGAGAGCCTATCTTAAGAAGCTTGATCTGATCTCTCATTTTAGACTTTTCAAATCTTGTGGGAAGCTTTTGATCTTTTCAGCCTATGCCCCCTCAGGAAAATGAATTCTGGAAGGTTATTCTCCACTGGGTGGAAAATAAGGCATCTCATTTTATTTATCCTAAAAGCATCCCCTCTACAGCTTGATGGACTACAGCTTCTGACATGCTGGATATCGCTCTCTTGCCTTTCCTGGAGATGATTGATTTCTCTTACTTCTATTCTTAAAAGGCAATCTTTTTAATCTGAAATAAGCGGTAGATTAGGTTCAAAGGCCTTGACTTGAGAGCAAGCTTGGCCCTTACCATCGCATGACCTAGGATAAAACATTTAACTCCTCAGAGCCTTGGTCTCTTTCATCCATAAAACAAGGCTGCTGGGAGGCTGAGAGGGGATCATGCCTGGGGACCCCAGTTGCCATCTCCAAAGCTCAGGCTCTCACTGTGGGGCATTCACTGAGGAGAGCCCTTCCATATTGCAAAATTGCCTGCATCTCCACTTTGCAAAACCCTCTTGGTGCCCTGGTGCCTTGGTGCCATGTGTGACAAATGAGGGCTTTGGTAGTAGAATTTTTTGGGGAAAAAAAATAAAGAATAAAAATACAAGACATATAAAAATGAATGTCATTATTTCCAAAAGGTCTGCAATGTCCCAACTCCCAAATGGCCAAAGACCCAGGCCAACAGAGATCCAGGCCTGAAGGCTTACAGGATAGACCAAGAGTTTTAAAAGACCCAAAGCCTGAGACATTAAAAAAAAAAAATGAAAATGGGATCAGAGGATCAGAGGGTATGTGGGGAACTAAAAGGATCACTTTGTATTGAAGTTGCACAGATGGTCTTTCCAACAATACACGGTTGTGCTCCCATCCTCCCAGCTCCTGGGCCTGAGACACCAAACCAAGACAATTGGCCCATCAGGAAAGAGGCCATTGTGTGCTTCTTAGCATGATTTATGTGGCAGGGAGGGGCTCGGCAATGCTTCCCGTGTTTATATTTCTCAAGTGCAATTTTGATAGCTTGTTCATCATCCTGAACAGCTAGGATGGACTGGGATGCTGGACAGCAGTGGTCATCAGGTCATATTTCATCTTTTCAAGCCTGTGGAGCCAAATTAATTGTTCCATCGATTTGAGAGGCAGAGTAGCAATGGTGCTGTGGCTCACCACAGTCAGTGTCCAAGGCCCACCAGGATCTCATGTCCACTTCCCTAATAGCTGGGCCTGGGACCCTGATGTGAGCATCTGCTTGACTCAGCAGCTTATCAGGACAGGCTGAGTGAAAAGTCCCGTCTCTGGGGCTGCATGCTGCATTCAGATTATCCATTTCTTTGTGGCCAGAGCTCCTGTCCTCTGCACCTGTCTGGTAGACAGAGGTAGGTCACCAGGTCCAGGAGAGATGAGCTTGCTGCCTTCCCAGACAGGCGAGTCTCCTGTGCCTCACATTCCCCTTAATGTCATTTTGTAAGGGAATCAAATAAAATCAAAGTGCAGCTTGCTGTCCGCGCAGACCCAGCTGCTCAGCCTCTCACAATTCCCCCCAAGGGCTGAGCCCTGGCAGACAGAGATGCTGTCTATCACTGGTCCCAGTCCAGGCAGCATCTACTCCCCTGCTGGGTGGGGGCATTGGTCTGGCCACAGGCAGATCCAGCCCATCCCCTGTTAGACTGTTGAGTCAATGTCTGATCTTTCCTAGGTTGAGAGGAGGGTAAGTGGGAGGTAAGGGGTGTATTCTCTTCTAGGCCACTATTTTTGGGATTCAAGTGGCCACAGCAACTGAGCAGGCTTACAGGGCACAAGAACCTTTCTCTAAAGATGCTGAGGTCTTACACAGCACAAAGAATTTCCAATGTCAGGGAACCTCTCTATCCTGAGCCAGCCCTCAGCCTCTCTGACCCTCTTTTCCTACGCAAGTGACTCTAATCCTCCTAATACCCTTTTGCCTATGAGCCGTGTCCCTCAGACCTGTGGCCTTGGGCTTTCTTCCCTCTGGGTCTGGCTGTTAGAAAAGAGTATGAGAGCTGCCCAACCCTGGGCTCCAGCTGAAGGTGGAGCAGGCAGTGAGTGGGCTGGGCTCGAACCTCTGTTCCCTTGGTCAGTCTTCCCTTAGCCATGTGGCAGGACAGTCTCCACTAGAGCTGCTAGGCCACCCCCAGCCCAGTCCCTGGCCCTTGGGAGCCTCACAGAAAGCAAGCCAAGTCAGTTTCCAGAGCACTGTGTGCCCGCTTCCCATCAGAATGCTCAACATGGGGTGGAAAGACAGCACAGCAGCCCCTGCTAAAGCCTGGGCAGCCGTGAACTCTCCCACCTTGGCCTGGCTGAGCACTGACTGCTCCCAGCTTCCAGGAACACTCCTAGAACTCAGCACTGCTTCCCCACCCTCCACAGGCCTGGCCAGAAGGCGGCTCTGTGAGAAAGGTCCTAATCCTCACCCATATCCACTGTGAGAGCAGGACATTGAGGAGGTGGGCAGGCAGGGGGATGGAGCAGGGAGTCATCTCTTCTCCTCCAGAGCCTGGCATTCACAAATCCACCTCCCCAGTCACCATCCAGGACAAGCCACCAGGACAGTCCTCACCTGGAGGACTGAAGGGGCTCCTAACTGATCTCACATCCACTTGCACTCCTCCTATGTGCAAACTGATCTTGTAGAAATATACCTGTGACTCCCTTACTCAAAAGCTTTCAATGGCTCCCCACTGTATCTAGAATGAAATCAATAAGACATCAACCATCAAACCCTGCACAGTCTGGCCCTTACCCACTGTGTCTTGCCCTCACTAAACTCCAGCCACACTGGCCTGCTCGCCAGTCCTCCAACTCGCCGAGTTCCTTCCTGTCTCAAGGACTCTCCATGTCCTATTCCATCTACCAGGAACACTCTTCCCCAACTCTCAGACTGGCTCCTGCCTCTCCAGCCCACGGGTCTCTGTTTAAAAGTTATGTTCCTCCCCAGTGGCCCCCCCGCACAGCAATCTAAGTATAATTCCCTCTTAAAGAAATCTGTGTTTTTTTCCTTCATAGATGATCACAGCTTGCCATCACGTGTGTGCCTGTGTGTGTGTTGGTGATTTATTTAATGCTCACTCCCGACCACACTGAAATCCTGATGAGAGCGAGTGTCTGTCTTTTTCTCCACAGTATCCCCAGCTCCTAGCACATAGCCTGGCATAAAGTAGATGCACCCGAAATATCCATCGAATGAATGAGCCAATGTGTACAGGTGAAAAATGAGTGAATGGGCGGAGATGTCCTCTGGCAGCAGCAGATCATGGCATTGTTCTCCATCAGGGTGACCTCTCCCGACCTCTCCTGCTGCCCCCAAGGCAGGTGGGGGAGCCACCACTGGAAGCCCAGTTGCAGAGTGTCCTCCTCCTCCACCTCCTCCTTCTCCTCCTCCTTGGAAGGAAGAAGCCTCTGAGTCCTCTCCTCTTGGGGCTTTCTGCTGCCAGTCTGTGCATGCCCACAAGGCCTCTCACACCACTGTGGTCCTTCTGTTGACATCCACACGCACCCTTGGGACCACTCCCTTCAGATGACCCTAGGCCCACCATCTTGGTCCTCCGTTTCAGGTCCAGTTGAGGTGAGGTTACTGTGTGGTAGGGGATCCCCAAGAAAGGGTTAAGTTGCCAGAAGCAGAGTCCCGCCCTTGGGCTTGCTCAGCCAATCAGAGTCTGTCCTGATGAGGTAAAGCTTCTATCCTGGGTGGCATTGGTTGAGTTGACCGGCCCCATCTCCTGCTGGAGAGAGCCGAAAGGGTGGAGTTTCTGTGGAACCAGACAGAACTGGAATTAGCTCGCTGTCTACTCAGGCTGGGGCTGCCTGACTGCAGGACCTGCCTCTGCTCCTTTCTAAGGCACTCACATACCCTGGCATCTCCAGGGCTGTCTCTAGTGGCCCCAGTGGAGATGACAAGGTGACACGCACCTCAGCATCACATCTGGGAGAAGTCTTAGAGCCAGAACAGACAAGGAAGCCTCAGTTACCCTGCCTGGGCCCCTGGAATATGGCAGGTGTCTACCAGGAAGTGACATGGAGCAGTTGTCACATGTGCTCCGAGCACCAGCAGCAGCTTCAATGAACAAGGCCCCCGATGAATCTTCCCATATGGAGAGCACTTTAAAACCATGACAGTAAGAATGATAGCAGCTAGTTCAGAGTTCGTCTTGACCACCACTTTGCCAAGCACATCCTGAGTTAAATCCTCACAAAAAGCCTCTTAATCCATCCACTTTACTGATGCAAAAACTGAGTCTCAGAGAGGCTAAGTGGCTCACCTGAGGTCACATCTCTTCCTGTGTTATTTTGAACTACCTCTCATGTCTGTCTCTGCCAGCAGACTGTGATCTCCCGAGGAAAGGGGCTGAAGGCTTGCTCTGCGCCTCCCCCTCCATGGAGCACAGGACCTGCCCTGAGGATGGGGCCAAGTCCCACTGAATTGTGTCTGCCCTTCTCATCCTAAGGGCTCGGTTTCCATGCTTCTCAGAAGGCTTCCCGGAGCCCAGCCCAGCATCAGGCACATGAAGGGTACTGAGCAGGAGGCTCACGGCATGGATGATGCTTGGATAGCCAGGACCCCACTGGATCCTTTTAAGGACCCAAGCACGGCCTTCATGCTTAGATCACCACTCCAGTGCCCTCCTCACCCCTCTCCTATTAGAAGGAGAATTCCATAAGGACAGGGACCAGGTCTCATTCATCTCTGCAACCCCAAAGGATCTAAATCAGTGTCTGGCATTGAGAAGGCACTGATTATGTATATTTGCTTGAATAATCAAAAGAATATATAACTGCCTTTCCTTTCTAGCTTAGAACCTAAACAGCCACAGGTGGGACCAGCTCTGAGTTATTCTAGATTAGAAGCCTCACAGCAGTCCCCATGCAGAGTTTAGTACAAGGATTCCCAGGTAGAAGAAGAAAGGTAGGTTTCCTCCAGCTACAGATAATGAACAGAGGGGCAGGGCTCTGAAGAGGAAGGAGGGGGGTGATGAGCAGGAGTAGAAAGTTGAGACAAAGGAGAAAGTAGTTCATTTATTTCTACAAGAAATGGAGACTAGATGGCCCCAGGCCCTCAGCTTTCATGAAAATCATAAAGCCTGAAGAAACAGAAAGAGCCATGGGCCCAGTGCCAAGATGCGACCACAGAGGCCACAGCAAGGGTGTGATCTCCAAATTGTTCTTTAAGTCCATCTTCCTCTGACTCCCTCCACCTTCCCAACAAGCATATTATTTCATCTTCAAGGCAAATTGCACTTACTATGTTTTGTGAATTCGGGAAGAACTTTACGTTCCTTAAGATATTTAAAGAATCCCCCATATCTGGGTGTCAGCCGACACTGTTGAAAGGAGCATGAGGGTTTGGGGAGTTGCCTTCCAAACCCCCTTTTCCCAGAGCACAATTTTCCCAGAGAGGTGGGGTGGGGGGTTCTAGGCAGTATTTTCCTTTATTCAGCAGAAGGTACAGCATCCACAGAAAAAACACAGAAAAGGCACTCAAAGGTGTGCTATTCTTGAGGTCAGCAGTTCGAGACCAGCCTGGCTAACATGGTGAAGCCCCATCTCTACTAAAAATACAAAAATTACCTGGGCATGATGGCATGTGCCTGTGGTCCCAGCTACTCAGGAGGCTGAGGCATGAGAATCACTTGAACCCAGGAGGCAGAGGCTGCAGTGAGTGGAGATCGTGCTACTGCACTTCAGCCTGAGCGACAGAGCTACACCTCATCTCAGAGCAAATTGGTCCAGCAGGACGCTTACACCCGAAAAGCAAGCAGCCAGCTTCTGAGCTCTGTTTGGCCCTTCCTCTTCTGCCCTGGAGACGGCGATCTTAGTGGCCAGCCCTTGGGAAAGAGGTTCCTGGTCACCGAAGCTGCCAGGACCTGACGGAACTTAGCACAAGTGGACAATGCTATGGAGCAGCTAGACAGCCAGCTGGGCCCTGTCAGGTTGCTAAAGCATTCCTGGAACTCTTAGGGCTGGAGAGAATTGTATTTACTGGAATTCCTCTCAAGAAGCATTCTGTTAGTGTGTAGAAGGAGTAAGTTGCTAGGACTCTTTGCATTTGCGTGGTGGCAGTAAGGGATGGGGAAGGTTGAGCAGTGAGACCTCTAGGGCCTGCCTGACAACAGACAGTTACATCATGGCCTTCTCAGAATGGTGGCCAGAGTGGGGTGTGCTGGTGTGGCTCTAGCCCCAGTTCTTAGGCCTAGGAGGTAATTCCGAGGCTGTCCCAGCACTCGGGCCCCCTCCTTCATCCCTCTCCTGTCCAGCACACAGCTTCTCCACGGAACACATATTTGAAGAGCTTGGGTTTGAAGAGTGCCCAAACTACTCTGCCCTGGATTCCCATACATCCGAGTGTGGCCCTGAAGCCAGGCCTCAAACCCTCAGGCCCTTCCAGCGTCAGCCAGCCAAGCCCAAAGCCCACAGGAACCAGAGCCTGGCTCAGAAACAGCCTGCCTTCAGTCACCCTCTGTCCTGCCAAACCTGAACAGAGAGATTCTCCAAGGTATAGAGAAGGCTGCTAACACACTCCAGAGCCAGCAAACTCTCTGACGGTGACACACAAAGAGCTCTTTCCCCTAGAAGAGAAGACACAAGCCCAAAGGAAAAAATACTGGGGTGCATGGGTTCAGCCATTCGACACCCCAATGAAGAGGAAGTGACCTGTATTCTGACTGTGAGTAACCCAGGATCAGTGGGGCAGGGCAGCCAATAGGCATGGTGACAGGTCTGCTCAGTAGAAGAACCTGACAGTGGCAGCCAGCCAGTGTTGCAACATACCACCTGGGGCTGGGCAGGGGCAATGCAGTCCCCGTTGCTATGGCTGAGCGAGTGCCTACTGCATACCAAGCATGGTGCTATAGCCTGTATGTGCACCCTCTCATCTAATTCTCATGACAACCCTTTAGGGAAAGGACTATTGTCCCAGGTCACTGATGGGGACCTCAAAGCACAGAGCAGCCAAGTGACTTGCCCAACGTCCCACTACCAGTTAGTGGTAGAATGTAGCTCAGAAGTCCATGCTCTTCCCAGTGTCTTCCCTCATCCCCGTTATTCTTGCCACTAGCTAGTGTAAAACAAGAGAATGTTCACAGCTAAGATGATGTAATTCTCAGATCCTCACTCCATTTGGGAATAGCTGGGGAGCTGCTGTCTACCACTGGCCCTCAGAAGAGGCTGCCAACCACCTCTTCCCACCTCCTGCCTCAGCAGACCTGCACTCCACTGCCCCCTGCATAGGCCTGCTGCCCATGGCATGGGGGCCTGAATGCACCAGGGAGAAACACAAAGGCCAGTGAATTTATAGGCTGCAGCCCTCTTTCATCTCTCCTCTTCCCCTAGATCTAGCAGAGCAACCACCTCAGCAACTTTTGCAGCCAACCAGATCCAATTCCCAAATGGCCAGCCCTTGTAGCAAGAGAAGGGACCCGAATGACTCACAAATGAAGGAATATAACTGTGCATTGTAGCTGGCATTGGAGTGTCAAGGGGAAGGCTGTGTGGTCCAGCTCCTATCCCATCCCCTCTCCCTAGGCACTGGATGGGCTGAGTAGTGCCCAATCCAGATCAGCCTCCCCTGCGAGGCTTCCCTAAGGCTCCTGCCAGCCAGTCCCCAGCCCCCAGCAGTCCACACTCGGCTCGACTTGGCTTTGGCCCGCATGGAACCATAGAGCATACAACAGCTTCTGCCGCAAACATCCCCTCCATCGCATCTGCCTGGAGCCAATGTTAAACACCAGTGTGCTGCCCCTGGCCACAGCCTACCCAATGGCAGAGGTGAACACATGCCAGGCAGCATCAGGGAGGCCAGCCCAAATTAAACCTTGCCATAGGCAAACCGACGAACAGAGTGCAGAATAGATGGGCCACGCTCAGTTTGGCTGTGTTGCGCTACACGAGCACTGTCAGACCCACTCAGCAGACCCAGTGACATGCCAAGGGGGAGAGACATTCGAGCACAGGCCCCCGCTTGCCAAGAGATTGTTGCACAGAGCCAAGTTGGAAGCTCAGGCTGGCCCCCAGCTCAATGCAGAGGCTCGAGGGTCTAGGCTGGCTGAGGGGAAACGAGGCAGCCAGCCCACAGCCACAGTCAAGGCTCTTACCTTGCTGTCCGGGGGCGATGCTGCCAGCTGTTGCTGCTTGGTGATGTTCTCCGACAGGCACCAGCACACTCTCTTCTTCTGCTCATGCGAGTGCGCTTCCAAAGTGAATAAGCACTCTGCCTTCTGACGTCAGGGAAAATAGAGAAAGGGATGGTCAGGGCTGCTCCCTGGTTCAGGGGGCTCCCAGGCCCAAGCCCATCCCTGGGCTCCAAAGGGCGAGGCTGTAGCCGGGAGGGGAGTGTCCGCCAAAAGCCACAAATGCACACTAATCCCCAGTGACATCGAGGCAGTCAGAGGCACAGGGAAGTGGGTTCAGGGGCCAGCTGCTGGCAAGCTGTGGGCCCACAGGTTGGGGGAGGAGAGGGAGGCAGTGGCTCCCAACACAGCAGAGGCCTGTGGAAAGCTGGAGGACAGAGCCAATGAGGTCACCCCCAGGGGCAGGCAGCACAAAGCAGCAGCTGGAGGAGCACGTGGAAAACCCAGAGGGCCAGGCCTTGCCTGATGCTCTGTGGAGCCAGGAACCCTCCCATCTCCCCCCGCTTACAGAACCCATCTCCCTCTCAGCGTTCTCTGATCCCAAGGCCAAGGCTGAACGGGTGGTTGGATGGGCAACCCAACAGAACCGAAACGGCAATTCAGGGCCCTTTGGAAAGCCTTTGACAGGCAGAGTCATGTGGCCCTCTGCAGCCCCACTGCCCCGCCCATGATCTGGGTCTAATCAGTGACTGTTCAGCTCAGTCGAGGGCAGCAACATCCCAGGCACTGCTGACATTTAGGTCCTGCTTTGCTATTTAACCTTGTTAAGTACTGCAGTCTTCTCTCCCCAACTAAACTAGAAACCCCTTCTAAAAAGGCTTTTTCGTCTGGGCCTTGTATAGTGCTTAGCAAGCAATGGCTTTGGTAAGCTCTGGTTGCCAAGAGGGACTTCTGGGTTGAGGTCAAATCCAGGTCAGCTTTGGCACAAGCATCAGGGAGCTTCAGGACCCAGATAGTTGCCCCTAAAGCAGTCAGAATGTGCTAGGGGAGGGGCGGGGACTGTGGCACATGCCCAGGGTTGCCATCCACAACCGGGTACTCTCATCAGGGGATTACAAGCTCTGTCTGCCTCCACTGGAATTTGATTATAACCCCAAAGGGCTGCGATTAGATGAACTCAGCCAGGGAGCTAAGAGCATCAGCTGATCCTTTGGAACAGAAAAAAAAGACAGTGTTTCTATCCAGCCCTTTCTCATTTTGCAGTTGGACAGGCCTTGTTTGAAGCCCAGCTTTGCCATCCCAGCTGCCAACCTCAGGAAAGTCACAAGCTGCCTGTGAATGGGGATGTGATGGCATCACCTGGCTCTCAGAGTGACTAGGAGGGCAAGCAAGGAGGACAGTAATCAGGCCTCAACAAACAGTCACTAGTGTTACTAATCAGTAATCCATTTGTTTAATAACGATATATTGGCTGGACAAGGTGGATCATGCCTGTAATCCCAGCACTTTGGGAGGCCGAGGCGGGCAAATCATGAGGTCAGGAGCTCAAGAACAGCCTGGCCAATATGGTGAAACCCTGTCTCTACTCAAAATATAAAAATTAGCCAGGTGTGGCAGCGCCAGCCTGTAATCCCAGCTACTTGGGAAGCTCAGGAAGGCGAATTGCTTGAACCCAGAGACGGAGGTTGCAGTGAGCCAAGATTGCACCACTGCACTCTAGCCTGGGTAACAGAGCAGGTAATTCAGCCTCAAAAAATAAAATAAAATAAAATAACTATTTACTGACAAACTAAGCTCATGCTCTCAGATTAGGGGTAAAGACAACAAACAAACAATTAAATAAATAATATACAGCCCTCCCTGTCTATGGGTTCTACATCCATGGATTCAACCAACAGAGGATGGAAAATACTTGAAAAAATATGTTAGGCTGGTCACAGTGGCTTACATCTGTAATCCAGCATTTTGGGAGGCCAAGGAGGATTACTTGAGCCCAGGAGTTTCATACCAGTCTGGGCAATACTGTGAGACCCCAGTCTCTACAAAAAGTTAAACAAAAAATTAGTTGGGTGTGGTGGTATGGGCTTGTAGTTCCAGCTACTTGGGAGGCTAAGGTGGGAGGATTGCTCAGGCCCAGGAACTTGAGGCCACAGTGAACTATGACTGCGGCACTGCACTCCAGCCTGGATGACAGAGCAGACCCTGTTTCAAAAAAGAAAATTCATCTGTACTAAATATGCACAGATTTCTTTTCTTGCCATTATTCCCTAAACAATAGTTTGACAACTATTTATATAGCATTTACATTGTATTAGGTATTATAAGTAATCTAAAGATGATCACATGGAGGATGTATGCAGGTTATATGTAAATACTACCCCATTTTATATCAAGGACTTGAGCATCTTTGGACTTTGGTATATGTGGGATCCTTGAACAAATCCCTGGTAGATACCAAGGGATGACTGTAATTACAACTCGTGAAAATGTCACCAAAGTCATGAAGGGAGAGGCCGTATTTGAGGTGTTCAGAAAAGGCCTCTTAGAAAGGGCAACACACAAGTTAAGGTCTGAACGGTAAGAAGAGGCCAGCAAAAACAGTTTGCGAGAAGCTGTTCCAGAAACAGCGAATGCAGGCCCTGAGCTGGGGAGGCCTATCGCATCAGCTGATAGCATCCAGGGACTTCTACCCTGCATCCAATCCAACCCTCAGGAATGCCACCCTTCAGAGCGGGGGATACATCCCATGCTGAGTGTCCCCATGGCGCCAGCCATTCCTCTCAGGCCCAAAAGTGCTCAGAAGTTGATCTTCCTAAAAGCATCTGGGGAGACAGGGAAGAAAGCCCTGCCTGCTGGTTTCAGGGAATTGGGTGGTGTGCTGAGCACTCCTGGAGCTTCCACTTCACAACAGGTTCCCTCCACTTCCTGGAACCCTCTAGCCCATGGCAGGGGAAGGATATGGCCAGCAAAGGCCCCAAGACTTCTCAGGGAGAAGCTAGGTGGGGCAGAGGCTGACCAGAAGGCCCTCTGCTCCCTGTCCCCAGTGTTCCCATACCAAGGTGGGGGATGAGGCAGGAACTGTGGTCCCTTCCAGCTTGGAAAGACCATCCTTCCAGGAAGCTGCCCTGGCTCGAGCCTCCCAGCCCTGCTTCTACCCAGCCAGGTGGGCTTCAGCAGATTCCTCTATCTCCCTGAGACTCCGTGTCCTCCTCTCTTTCTGTTCTGAAGCAGGAATTCTGCCTTACTAATAGTTCCTTTTGTTTAATTATCAATTTTAAAAAGAACTTTCTAGCCAGGCGCTGTGGCTCACCCCTGTAATCCCAGCACTCTGGGAGTCCAAGGTGGGTGGGTCAACTGAAGTTAGGAGTTCGAGACTAGCCTGGCCAATATGGTGAAACCCCATCTCTACTAAATTTACAAAAATTAGCCAGGCATGATGGCGTGCACTTGTAATCCCAGCTACTTGGGAGGCCGGGGCAGGAGAATCTCTTGAACCCAGGAGGTGGAGGTTGCAGTGAGCTGAAATCCCACCATTGAACTCCAGCCTGGGCAACAGAGTAAGACTCTGTCTCAAAGAAAAGAAAAGAAAAAGAACTTTCCCACCCATGATCTCATGTTGATCTTGGCAATGAAGTGAAGAGGCAGGGAGGGCATGAATTGTTGTCTCCATTTTATGGAAAGGAATGGCCAAGGTTCAGAGCAGCTAAGGACCTCCCTGAGTCTCATCACCAAGGGGCAGCAGAGCTCCAGCTCAAAGCCTTGGAGAACCACATGCTGAGATCTCATCTCCAACATCCGAGGAGGTCTCATCACCTGGTAAGGCTGCCACACCTGTGGCTGGCAGGAATCCTCCCCCTGTAAAGCCTCCAGGAGAAACTCTGTAGGTAGCTGGGTCTCAGCAGCTGCAGAGTTCACTGGCAGCTTTTTGTATAACTGTCCACTGCTGTAAGCTCCAGGATGGTGTCCCCCTCCCTACATAAGTGTGAAAAAGTTCCCCCGATGCTGGGAGGACCTCTCACAGTGAAAGAGTCACCTACCCTCAATATTGAGGCAGCCCCTCGAATTTCATGCCCTGCACAGTGCTAAGCCCCTTACCAGTGACACCCTGGCATTTCTTCCAACAACATTGCAAGGTAACAGCCATGATTATGCCCATTTTAATGACACCACAAGAACCATCCTCCGCTGCCCTGCCCCATGGGAATCTCCTTTGGAAAGCCATATTTCTTCACCTGAGGTGGTGACAATATTGCCTGTCTCAATAGCAGAGTGTGGGGCTGGGTCTCTGACTCTCAGAGCTTGAAGGTGTAACACCCAGAAGGATTCCAAAGCAGGGGGCAGAGCTGGCTGGTTTAGATGGGCAAATGTTTTTGGGAGACCTGAGCTCTGGAAACTGGGCAGGCCAAGAGAGAGCACTAAGCCAGCTCTCTTTAGGGAGGCTGAATTCCCATCTGCCTAAATCTGTCTAAACTGGGGACACTCATTACCTTCCTGGCTGCCCCCACAGGTAAACCATCTCTTTTAATTCACGTTGTGATCCAACTGGTCGGTTTCAACGCTGACGCCCACTATGCCCTCAATACCAGGCTCTGGGGTCAAGGCCATAAGCCGCCCTGAAGGCTTCCTCACATAATACACTCAGGCGGTATCTCCTGACTACGGGGTGGTCAGCCAAGCACAGACCTTTCAGATGCACCAGCCCTGACCCAGAGACACTGGGCACAGACCTCTGCATTTAAACACAGGCATCCTGAAATCCAACCAGACACCCAGCCCCTCTTGGCCTCTTTAAAATCCCCCTCTTCCCTTACCTCCTTGCCTGGATTAACTGTATCTTTGTAAAAACCAAAACTTCTTCAGCCATAAATTAAGTTGGTTTATTGGCTTTGACAAAAATTCTGTCATTTAATTCAGCTCTCCTAATGACCCTATGACATAGGTAGGAAGGAAGGCAGCTGCTACCATTTTTCAGATAAGAAAACTAAGGCTCAGGGAGGTTATATCATTGGCCCCAGGAAGTCTCCGGAGAGGACAGATTCACCATTTGTCTTCCACCTCCTCCAGAGCCTGTGATCTTGCCATATTTGTATAACTGTATATGCACATTACAAAGAATATGAGCTATTCCTTTTAGCTTTCTTTTTGAAAGACCAATAAATCATTTGTGATTTCTCTAATGGAGAGTAAACAAATATGAAAAGCCCTTCCCCTAGTTCTTTAACTGACAATAACAATAGCTACCATTTATTGAGCACTCACTGTGTGCCAGGCTCTGTGCTAAGTGCTTTGGATGCAAGTCTTATTGAATCTCATTTAATCATTACCATAACCCTGCAGGGTAGGCCTCATCAGCCCTATTTCAGAGATGAGTTTGTAACTTGCCCCAGATCACTCAGAAAATGGCAGAGCCAAGATTCAAATCTAGGTCTTTCTAACTCCAAGACTCTTAAATTAATGGAGCCAACGTCAGATTCTAGGTTAGAGACTCATCCCCCACCAAGGTGCCCATTGACCCAGTTAACTTCAGAGCCCCTGTACTCTGAAGCCAATGTGGGTTGCACCTGTCCAGTAGATTTGCGGAAGCTGAGAAACACACCTGTCTAGGGCAATAGAGACCCAGAGCCCAGGACTACTTTAGGACACCACCACCCAAGACCTTGCAGCTGGGGAACAATCAGAGTTGCCACCACTCAGACAACTGGGCCTTTCTCCAAAAAACATCTCCAAACCCTGACTCTCTTCCCCCTGGTTTCTTCTCTGGGTGCCACCTGCATGTCAGGCAATGAACAGAAACCACGTGTCAGAAGTTCCAACTAAGATGCTGAGTTTCAGGCTCTTGACAGGACCCAAAACCACCCATGTTAAGAGTGGCCCAGGCTACAGAGCAAGAAGGCATCTTATCTTCCCTGAACTACAGACGTACTTCTCATAAATGGCAACCCATTAAGAGAACAGAGAGGCTTCTAGCTGCCTGTGAGCTCAATCCCACAGCCCCTGGGGATCAGATCACCTGGCACTTTACTGAAACAAAAAGCCCCAAATCAATATCCCTTCACAATCTCTGGAAGCCAGGAGGTCACAGATCCTGGGAAACCAACAGAGCAGAAGTACTTTTCTCTGGGAGTAACTACCAACCTGGCAGGAAGCTCTATTGGCATTAAAGAACCTGGAGTCTCCCTTCAGGGACTGCCCCAAAGAATCAGAACCCAGTGTGCTGAGGCCGGAGGAGGAGCCCAGCCTGGTCACAGCTTTTCCTCTCTGCTTGCTTGCCTCTGTGGAATGAAACACCCACCAGCACTGAAGCGATTCCATCCGCCACTTCCTGTGCCCCAGGGGGAATGTGGCTGACACAGGGGAGGACAGCCAATGCTCTCTTGGCCCTCAGGCCTGCATTTCAGGCAGCCTAGTTCCTCAGCTGAGCCCCAGCCATGTCCACTGCCTCTTCAGAACTCTCTGCCCTCCCCTAAAGCTAACTTTTCACAAACTGTCTTCTCCCTTTGGAGGCTATTCAAAGACTATCTCTAGGTCTTGTATTGAAAATCATTTTAGCCAGAAACTAAAGGAATGATTCAATCACAAACTGTGTACAAATTCCTTCTGAAAGGGTTGTGTTCCTCTTGGCCAGCCAATACAGACTATGTCCCACCTCCCACAAAACAGGTTCCCTGGATTGTTGCATGAGACAAACTTAAACAAAGGCAGAGGGCCTTCTAATGTGTCTAATGAATCCTTGCTTGGATTAGACACCGCCCTGTTCACATTAACAGAGTCACAAGGGTGGGAATAGAAAATTCACTGAAAATTGAAAAGTATTTGTATAGCTCAGCGGCTCTCAACTTTTTCATCTTCAAGGATCTCTTGGATTAACCCCCAGGCTTAATGATATTTTATCTACCAAACCATATTAAGTATTAAGTTACTTGACAGAGGTTGCTCAGCAAAAGACACAGCACTTCCCATCTAAGCTTCTGATCAGACTGAGATAACCAGGAATCTCAACCACACTGAGTGGGTATCATTCCAGCCTGAAGCCCAGACACGTGATGTTTGCTTTAGCCAATATTATCTGGCCCAGGTAAAGGTACAAATACTTTCAGGCCTTTTGAAACACTGACAAGACCCTGTAGGACGGGTCCTGGGTGGTACTTCCTGGAAAACGTGGAAGCAAGAGGCAGGCACAGGAATCAGGGCGATCTCTAGAGGAAGGGCTATTAACCAGTAAACAGGTGATGCACAACTGCCTGGCTACACCCCCACTGAGATTTCTGCAGGAGTTCAGGAGGTCCTGCACAGAAGATCGCAAGGGTCTGTTCTAAGCACTTGCCTGTCCACTGATCTTTCACACGGAAGTGAGAGAGGCAGGAACGGGCACTGCCAGTCCCATTCTACCTAGCAAAAAAAGCTGCCACTCTGGCTTTGCCCAGGACTTCAGCATGACTGAGTGTGGAGACGGGCATCAGAACCCTGGTCTAGATCCCGTCCCAGCATCTCCCCTCCAGCACCAAGTCAAAGATCTCTCTCCTCAAATCCAGAGGAAAGGACTCACCTCTGCTAGATAGAGCACGCAGAATTTCAGGTCTTCCGACGAACCTTTGAGGGAACAAAAAGTAAGATTTGCATTAGAACTACCATAGTCAGCATAGTCAGCACCCAGCCCAGAAGGCTGTGTGTGGCACCTCCTGGGAAAAGAGAAAGGCAGACATGGGAGACAAGAAGTCTCTGGAGGAAAACTGGCTAAGGAAGTATGAGGGTAATGTACAGCTGTAAGGCGTCTGCCTGCAGCTCAACCTGGCCCAAGGAATGCTGAAACCTCATCTCCAGGAGAGGTAGCCAGGAGCACCCTCTGGGCATCAGGTACAGGGAGGGAGCCCTCATCCATCCCAGAGGACTCCTCCCTTCCATGATATCTGCAGTGAGATACCAGGAGGCAGCACACATTTGGATTTTCCTTTAAATGCTCCAACTGCCCTTGTCATTTTGAAATTCAATAGGGAACCTTGTTTCCCACCAAGGAATGGTGGGCTGTGCACGTGGCTCCCGAGTCATAAACTGGGTGGGGCCCGGAGATGGCTTCCAGGCCCAGGTTTCACCTCTCTGTGTGTTTTCCTAGAGCCCCCTAACCCGTGGTCCAGGATCACCATCACAACCATTCACTAAATCCTCTCCACCTGGGAGGCAGCTGGAAGGGATTTGGCTGTCAGCAGCTCCCTCCTCCAGCAGAGGAGCTAAGGTCCAGTGTCAACCCTGAGGGCAGGTGATTGCTCAGAGAGCTTCAGAAGCAGGAGGACCAAGAGATGACACCAGCTTCCAGGAAAAGCTTCCTGAAGGAAGGCCCTGTTGAGTTTGAACTCAAGGTGGGAAGAAAAGACATTCCAAGAGGAGAAGCACAAGTTGTGCTCAAGGGAGAGCAAGTGCAGAGACGCTGCCCTCCCCCTTCCTCCAGGACAACCGTCCTGACTGCTGCAACCACTCCTCAGGACCTGGCGGCACCCCCACTTAGGGCACTTGTCTGGGCACAGGCCCGGAATGGTTACTCCTTGTGACCATGCAATGGGCCTCCTAAGCAAGCTGTCATTGTTGACAGAAGCAACCATACAGCACGTAAATTAGTTGCAAAGAGAAGACGGCAAGATAAAAATGGAGATTGTGGGTCAAGCCAATTCCTAAGAAAAGCAGTGAATGAGGGCCCTGGTATGGGTGAAGTCCAGGCCCCCCGGAAGCACGGTATCTGGGCAGTTCTGACACAAATCTGTCCCTAAGGCCAGGGGCTGCCCTCCAGAGCCAGATAAAAAAATCTCCCATGAGTAAATGAGGGTTCACTTCCCACTTAGGGAGAATAAATCTTTCTACTTCTTCCCACCTATGATGGGCTGGGGAGGGAAGAAGGCCTGCCTAAGAAGTCCATCACATTTAAGAAAACTGTAATTTCAATGCTTCTGCCTGTTCCTTGTGTTGCTGAGGGTGGAGACAAGAGGAGGTGGCTTCTTTTGTTTAAGAGAACACACTGGGACATTTCTTTGGCTTTCCAGAAGCAGACCCTAGTGCCAAGTGAGAGTCAAAAAGATATATATAAAAAAATAACAGAAACTTGGGGGTTAGAAGCTGGCAGCGAGAAAATAGAAGGTTCTAGAAGGGAGAGGAAAGCCCAGGAAATGAGAGCCTCAGGGAAACAGGAGGCCGAGGTTGGGGAAACACACCCTAAGCCATATTCCCTATGGCAGGGAATGGTAGATGGATTGCCTTGACAACTTTTCTGTGCTGTGACACCCCTGCCTCCCACCCCAACCTCCCTGCATTACTGCAAACTTTCCCTGAAATCTGCTCCATGTCACCGCCTTGTGCTGGCAGCACTTTGAGAGGAGGATGGAATGGGGGCAGCGCTCAGCATGGTTCAGAGCCTCATAAAAGAACAACAAACTGAGGAAGCCAAGGGTGCCAGAGAGGAGCTGCAGCTGAGGAAAAGCAGGCTGCAAGGGGCTGATCCAGAAGAGAAACTTCTGCCCCTTCAAGAACATTAGAACTGGGGACAAGGAGGGAGGAGAAGGGCAGGACACATCAGGGTTTTCCTTTAAACATTCCAACTACCTTGGTCATTTTGAAATCCAACAAGGAGCCACTGGGTTCCAGAGTGGGCCTTGCTTCCCACAAGGAATGCATGGACCATGCAGCGGGGATCCCTGATCATGGGCTGGGTGGAGCCCAGAGATAGCTTCCTGGCCATATCTGACCCCTCCTTCATTTTCCCAGAGCCCTCCTTCATCTGGTCCAAAACTCATCATTAAGCAAACCCCCTTCACTTTCTGAGGCAAGCAGGAAGGGTGTTATCCCCATTCTCCAGACATAGAGACTGAGGCCCAGGGAGGGAGAACAACATGAATAGGGCATACAGGAAGTAAGTGGCAAAGCCGAGCTTTGAACCAAGGACCACCTGCCTCCAGAGCCCATGCCCTGATCACCATGTCACACTTCTACCCCTCCACCAGTTACTTGTCTGCATTCCACCAGGTTATGAGCCCCAGAGGTGACAATGTGTCCCTTCCACTGCTACTACCCCAGCACTGCTATCACTGATGGGGGCTCCAAGGACATGCTCAGAAAATGGGGACTAACCAAGAGTTAACTCCAAACATTCCAGCAGCTGAACGAATGCAACTGACTTTCTGCAACTGCGTACCTGGCTCCAAGGGGAATGGAGAGCCCAAGAATCAGCGGGACATTTCCAGGTCACTTCTGAGACACCAAAGCTGGCCAGAAAGACACACTGTGGGCATGATGCTGGCTGCCTGGGAGGCAGCAACACAAAGAGTAGCAACGCCAGCGGGTGGTAGAGGCAGGAAGAGACCACAATGGGCCCCGGCTGACCGGAGATGTACCAATTGTTAGCACCAGCTCTCCGCCTGTTCCCATTACACTGCCATTCGGCCCTGCTAAAGCCTGGGGGAAGCTGGCAGGACAGGGGCAGACAGGATTTAAGTGACTACCGGCCAGGAGCCCCGTGGGAGAGGTGCACCCCCAGCTCCCGAACTGACGCAACACTTCTGCTCTCCTTTTAGTCATTCATTCACCCAACAAACATTGATTGTGCACCCGCAGTGTTCCACATCCCAGGCTAGGGCCTGGGAATATGCTTGGCCAGTGGAGCTAAGGACTCTTCAGACAAGTTAAACAGGGAGACCTTGGTCCCTAGTGTGGGGCTGATTCTCCCCTGCCAGGGAGCAGCCCTTGCCAGCCCCAGCCAGCCAGAAAGGTTGGGTGTATTCCTTGTTTGCCATCTTCTTTGCCCTAAATTAAATTCTGTATACACAGTGATTTGAAAGAGAAAAATAAGAAACCTAGGAGTCATGAGCAATATTAATCAGAGACCATTCTGCCAACAGAGGCTCCAGCTGAGGTCCCAAATGCATCCCTTAAAAGCCTCAGGCCCTTGCTGCTACAGTGGGTCTCTTGGGGCACAGGGGAGGCAGGCAGGAAATTGGGCGCCAGGACTCAGAACATTGGGTCCTGCAGCTCCAATGTGGACTGCAGGAGAAGGGGTCACTACACTTCCGTGAACCTCTGGACCCACAAGCCTGTCTCAGGGGAGTGGGGCAGCTGGGGGAAGGCAAGGGCTCCATCGGTTCCTGGAAAGAAATCTAAGCGTTGGATTGTGCACCTAGAGATGGAGCCATTTCCATCCCTCTTAGCAGCTCTCAGGCTCCCTGGAGGTGGGCCCCAAGCCATCTGTCCAAAACATCCAGGGTAGGCAGAGGCAGATACACACACACACACACACCCCTCTCCCATGCCAACCCAAGGGGCTCTTCCAGCCACAGCGGTCTCTCCTGACGCTCCACTCCCATGCCAACCCAAGGGGCTCTTCCGGCCACAGCCGTCTCTCCTGAGAAGTGCTGCCTTGGCCATCCTCAGCCCTTGTGCAGCTTGTCCTCCATCTATAGGGAGAGGAAGCCACCATGCCAGGCTTGCACAAGCCTGCAGCCCAAATGCAGCTCAGCACCTGGAGAGCTTCTCTGTGACACCCCAAGGTCCCATACCACCCACCTTGACCATCACCCCAGTGGAGGAGCATACCCCACCTCTAGCTTCAAGTCTTGGGCCTGGGGGCTCCAGAAGCGGAGATTCCAACCAATTCCCCAACCAGGCCCCCAGAGGGGTAGAGGCAGGATAGTATAGGCATGGTCCAGGTGCTCACAGCAAGCTCTGGGGTTCTGTGGGGAGTGGTGTCAGAGCTGGGAAGGACACAAAGGGCTGGCCCCACCCTTAGTTCCCAGTCAAAGAAACTGAAGCCTGGCAAAGGGAAAGGGCCAGCTAAAGCCACACAGCACAGTACAGCGTGCCACGCCCAGACTCCCAGCCACTGCCCTCAGCTCCTCCACTGCCTTCTCCCTGCAACCTCCCAAATTGTAGCCAGTTTGAGCCCTGCTTCTTTTCCCTCCCTCCTTCTCGCAGGAAGCTGAGCAAACCAGGGTCCTGGGTTACGGCCCCAGCCTCGTAACGTGCACAACAGAGTAAGGGTTCCATTCTTATACCAACTAGGGCCTATTACCAAGCCCTGACCCATCCAGTACTCCACAAATGTGACTGGGTCCTAGACTGTCTGGACTGGGGGCAGGGAGGGGGAAGCAGAGAAGGGACTTGGTGTGAGTGCATGTGTGAATATGCATACTGCAGCCAGGCTGGAGGGACAGGGAGAATGGGCATACAGGAGGTTGGGTGTGAGGGAGCCAGGGAGGCCTGGGGAGTATGGAGAGGAGGAAGGGAAGCCCAGGACAGAGGCCACTGGAGCTCCCACCTGCTGCCCTCCAGCAGGCATGGGGAGCTCTGGGAATGCCAGTGCCGGAACTGGAGTTGTTCAGGATGGCTCCTTCCTGCTGCTGCCCTGTGGTCAGGCTGAGCCCGCCTGGAGGGAGGGACTGACCCAGTGAGGTGACTTGCTTTTCCCTTCCATGGGCAGGAGAAAGGACAGAGCCTGAGAAGGAGAAGTTGTCAGTGGCTTCCTGTGGGGAAGGGAAAGTGGAGGTTCTCACACTGAATGGGTTTCCAAGGAGGAACAGTCAGGCACTGAGCATGCAGGGCAGTTTGCACATAGCCAGGAAGCTTTCCCAGAGCAAAACCCGCCAACACAGAACTCTTTCGCTGGGTAATATTTTCCTCCCTGCCCGTCACCCATCCTCGAACAGGTCTGTTGTTGGTTTTACGATCTGGGAGAGGAAACTGAGCCCCTCTCAGCGGAGACCTCAGGCGCCAAACCAAACCCAACAGATACTCCCAGCTGGCTTCTCATCCCACAAGTGGAGGAGGGCATGGTGGAAAGTTTGGGTTAGAAATTCCCTCCATGATCCCACACCCGCCTGAGCCCTGGCAGCTTGGGCTCCGCAGGGCCATGCAGCTGGGTAGAGAAGGTCTCTGTCCCCGGATCTGTGGGATGAGTGTGGTGGCAACAAGCACTTATTGGGCACCTGGTATGGGCCAGGCACTTTGCATTTACGACCTAGCTTAATCTTCATAGCAATCTTCTGAGATACTATTTTTATTCCTATTTACACAGGAGAACACAGGCTCAGAGAGGCTGAGTAAAGTGCTCACAGTCATCCCAGTACGGAGGGACAGGGTCAAGATTTGAACACAGGTCTGTCTGAATCCAAGGCTCTTCCTACTGCACTTCATAGTCTCTAGAATAGGAAGCTCCCTGAAAAGCTCAGGTATATTGGAAGGCTTACCAGCCTAGAAGGAATGCCAGTGTCTGAGACCCACGGGTCCATGGACAGAGCCCAGCAGCACACACTCCAATGACCTACGGACGGCTGGCCAGAGCCCAGAGGGCTGGACTGAGAGTCCCAGAGCAGTGGGACTGGGGCAAGCTGAGAGGGGTTCTGGGAGCCTAGAGCATCTTCTTACCTTCCTGCAGCTTCACACTCTGGAGGTAGAGGGGGTTCCTCAGGACGTTGCAGCGGCCAGGCTCGTCCTCCTTGGTGAAGAGCAGCAGGTCCGAATAGGCAAACAGTGTCACCTGGGTTGACAGAGAGCAGACAGAACTGGCTACTGTGCTGTCCTCTGGAGGCTGGGAGCCACAACCTCCCCAAGAAGGTGGGGAGCCACAACCTGCCCAGGTAATGCATCCTCATCATCTCACTCAGAACCAGGAGCAGTGCTCAGTACGGCCTCAGCCAAGGGCAGACATGACCTGCTGTCAAGATGGCCCCATCGCCCTCCAGTTTTCTATAATTCCATTCCTCAAAGTAGGAAATAGCAAACAGAAAGGGGAAAGCGGCCCTCACCCTCCATGGCAGCTGGTCCCTGCAAGCCTTTCCACAGCCTGGTGCCCCAGCCCTACCTCTCTAACCAAATGCCCCCGGAGTCTCCAGCTCAGCACCAGGGGCTGGGAGCCAACCTTAAGCTGCAAGATTTTTGTATTTGCTTTTATTCTGCAGTAAGTATCTGACTGAAAGAGTACTGGACTTGGGAGTCAGAAGTCAGGAGGCTCCTATAATAGCTCTGCCACTAACTAACTATGAAAAAATTGGCTAAAACCCCATAACCTCTTCAGTTTTCTCACCAGTCCAAACAGGGAGAAGAGTCCCTGCCTGGCATTCTTACAGGATCCTTCCACAAACTCTTTGTAGACTGAGTAAAGCACCACACAATGTGAGCTAATATTACCAAATTCCTTGCGGATAAGTTTAACTGCATTAATGAGAAATCAGTTCAAGGAAAAGCCAGTTACTTACACTCTAGTACAGACGTGGACATTGCTTTTATCTCTTTTATGCATTAGCTGCTCCAAAAATAAAGGCAAAAGCTATTCTTAGACATTATAGGTAAACCAACAGGCACGCTCAGCATATTTTTATGCTAAGAAAATCCACTTGATCCTTTAATGCCACTAAAGATTACACTGTTCTTTGTTTTGCAAATCCTGCAGTGGCCTTTATTCAAAAGCAATAAAATCCAATTTTAGATTCACCAAAGAAAACAGAATGCTATGAATTATGTGAACTTCCCTTTGAGGTATCAAACACCTGACACCTTGTCTCTTCTGAAGAAGAACCAGCCAGAAGGGCTTGGCATGCACTGAAGGGCACTGTGAGTGTGTGTTGGACTGTTGGTGACATTTAAAAAGCCAACAGGTTGACATTCCGCTATCAACCTGTTAAAGATGACCCCACAGCCCCACTTCTGAGACTCTATGCTACAGAAATACAAGGAGATACAAATATGAACATACAAGGATGTTCTCAGCAGTATGTTTGTAATTTAAGAAAAGGAAATAGGCCAGGTGCGGTGGCTCATGCCTATAATCCCAGCACTTTGGGAGGCCGAGGTGGGGGGATCATGAGGTCAGGAGTTCGAGACCAGCCTGACCAATATGGTAAAACCCCATCTCTACTAAAAATGCAAAAATTAGCTGGGCATGGTGGTGCACACCTGTGATCCCAGCTACTCAGGAGGCTGAGGCAGAAGAATTGCTTGAACCTGGGAGGCGGAGGTTGCAGTAAGCCGAGATCGCTTCACTGTACTCCAGCCTGATCAACAGAGCGAGACTCCTTCTCAAAAAAAAAAGAGAAGAAAATAACATGAACACTCATTGAGAGAAGATTAATAAAATAAATTATGCTAACTTCATATGGCAGAATTTTATGCAACTATTAAAAAATAAGGTAGAGCTATGTGGGCAGAAATAGAAATCTATCTATCATAAATCAAAATAGTGCAATGTGCAAAAATACCTAGCATAGAATCCAATTTTGTAAAACAAAACGATAAACTTCTCTATATTTATACATTTTAAAAATAGCTAAGATGTCACACTCCTCACTCTGGGCAGTAGGATTTTAACTCATATACTTTGACTTAATGTGTATTATTTTACAATTACTGTCACTTTTGTAATTTAAAAATATAGAATATATATCAAAGGACAACTTAGCTTCTTGAGTGTAGCACAGATACAGAGGCTTGAGGAAATCTGGGCTGCAGAGACAACAGGGGGTCATCCTTGAAGGAGCTCTCAGGGGCATTGGCTTCTCCAGTGGGGCCAAAACATGAAGACTCCAAAACCCTGGGCTATAAGGCACTTTGGCGGTAACCGTATCCCTTCCCACCACAGCCCTGTCTCAATACAGCCCAAGATAAGCCTCTATGTGTTGAATGCCTACTTTCTGCTCAGCGGATACTCACTTGTAAATAACACCATTACCCTCATTTATAGACAAGGACCGTAGAGCTCAGAGAGGTTAAATGCCCTGCCCATGGCCACAGAGTCAGGGACCATTACCCAGATCTGGCTCTCACTATACAGAGAGGTAGCAGCATGCCTATAGCTGTTCAGTTCCTGAATGTGAAAGAATCCAGAGACCAAAGAAGAGGAGCAAATGAGGCAAAAATAATAATAATGTTAGGAGGGGAAGAAAATGATCCAAGAGCTCAGAAAGAGTCAAGGAGTTGGTTGTCTGAGAAGACCTCAAAGTTTGAGCAATGGAAAGAAGCCAGAAACACAACGAAAACCCTCAGGATTCCACGAAACGTGTCCCTGACTCAAGGGAAATCTGGCAGTCACCTCCAGACCCAGAGGGAGGCTGGCAGGAGAAGGGCTAGAGCCAACAATCTGTCAGGAGCCTAGAAAGTTAACAACAACAACAACAAAAACAGCCCAGGCCCAGAGAGGGGTGGGAGGAGCCACCAGCAACTGGAGAGGAACCATGAGCAAGGTGAGAAAAAGGCCCAGGCCACCACTCTGGCCCAGATTACCAGGGCTGAGAATGTGGTCTAGACAGGAAGTGATTAAGGCATGAATGAAAAATTTCCCAAAGGTTGGGTCAGGGAAAGACCAGAGCTGGCACACAGCAGGAGACAGAGCAGAGGGACATGTGTGCCAGGGAGGACAGGTAGACTCCGCCATCTCACCAGCACCACCAGGGGCCACGGCAGCCCATGAGAGAATGATGCTCATCTCCATGGCCCAATCACCTGCTGCCTTCCACAGCAGGCCATGGGCGTCACCTGATACCTTCCCCACACTTGCTCCAAGGACACATCTGATTTTCCAAAGGGTCAGAGTTGAGGGATCACTTAGTAAGGTGGTCCTTACCACTTGGAGGATGGCTTCTCACAAGTGGCCCTAATCTAGCCTCTTCTTAGGAATCTGACCTAAGGGCAGGGTTTGCCGAAAAGACCTTGGTGCCTTGGTTAATGGTAAACGACATGAGTCAATGTGTAAAGTGAGGGTGTGTCTGTCTTGTGCTTCATGGTATTCCCAGAACCTCCCACAGGGCCTGGCGACATAGCAGATGCTCAGTCACTATTGTTACAATGTATAAATGAGACTGCTCCAAAATGTCCCAAAGACCTCAGGGCACATTAATCAAGTCTCTGACTTCTGGATGGTGGGGGACTGGATCAGCTCAAAGATGTTAGCAAACTTGAGCGTGCCCAGAGAAGTGATGGGACAAAGAACCAAGGAGGAACATTCCACAAACAAAGATTTCTGTTGAATGTAAGGGAGAACTCTCTACAATTTAAGCTTCTCCAGATACAAAACCACTACTTTAAGGGGCTGCCCTAGAAGCAACCAGTCAGAAAACCATTTAACTGGAAAGTTTCAAGGAAACAATTAGAATGGATGACTCCTGCATGCCTAACCAATACTGAGGTTCTATGAATTTATTCAAATCCATCTTGAATTGTTTGTTTGTTTGTTTGCTTTTTTGGTGTGAGTAACATGATAGGGTACCCAGATCTATATATTTGGTTGCTATCTTGCTTCAAGAAAAATGAATATATTAATATTTATTTTACTTGCCTTCAAATTGCTTCCTTTAATCTTAAAGACAAAGGGAGAGAAGTCTCTTGGTTCTAAGGCTCCAGAGACCCATAGGCAGGGTTTTCTGGACAAATTGCAACTGTCACAAGTCTATGGCTTCAGCTTGTGTTCCTTAGTTTGTCTTTATGCAGACATGCCAGAAGCAGTGTGGAGTGATGGAAAGCATCACTGAGCCAGAGAGACCCAAGGGCTAATCCCGGCTCCATCCCTTTCCAGCCCGGAGACTCTTGGGTCCCAGTGAATCTCACTGGAGCCTCAGTTGCCTCAACTGCAAAGTGGGGACAATCGTGTGGGGTGCTAGAAGAGCTAATTGGGATCAAGTATGTAAAATGCATACAGAATGAGGATGCACAATAAGTGCTCAATGTTTGCAGATCCAAGGGTAAGTGGAAAAACAAAAGAGTGAATTTAGACTTATTTATATGTTTCAGGGTGGCTGCCATCTCTAACTGGCTTCTTATGAGCCTGGTAAATTTATGGCCACACCTCAATTTCTGACCCTTGGACACCTGACTTAGCTCCACCACACTGTCATTCACCGAACATAGCTCTGAGTGACTTCTCATCCCTAAAACTTAAATCTCTCCCAAGAGATGAAGTTTTACTCCCACTGAGACAATTCAGAAGACATGCAAAGATTTTTAAATTCCCAAAGTTTGCAAAGTTCCCAAGAAGAGGTTCAGAAAAGAGGAGATCCAGAAATACAGTAGGCAATAGCAAGCGGGGGAAGTGAGCATGCAGCGCCCCCAGGGCACACCCTCAAAAAAGACAATGTGCATTTGCAATAGATGAGTTCCAGTCTCCTGGTTTAAAAAACAAAACCAACCTCCTGCTTCAGCCACAGTCACACATAGTGTGCTAGAAGGCTGAGGTTTAAAGGGCCCTTAGAGACCAATCTCTGACCCTACTCTTACTGCCTCAAATACACACAAACCTACTGCTCAGATGGGAAGACTGAGGAAGAAGGAAGAAGTCACATGTGAGCCAGCAGCAGAGCTGGGTCTTGATATAGACTTCCTGTCTCCAAGTTTCCTGATCTTTCTACTACCCCAAGCTCCCCCAGACTCAGCCAATGCAGCTCTGCACTGGGGACTGATCTGCAGAGAGCCTGCGCCCCTCACCCCATGGCGCCAGGTAGCCAGGGCAGAGCCCAGAGCTCCAACCTTGGTACCCAAGTCGTTTTAAGCTCAGAGACTGAACTGACCAGCTCTGGGAATTGCGTGGATGAGTGAAGTTCTCCCAATTAGAGAAAAGCATCCCAGACCAGCTCCCAGGAAAAGTGGCACAGCTCCCGTGTCAGCACCCTGCTGGCAGAGCTAGGACCCAGGCAAAATCATAGACTCATCTCTCAGAAGAGGATGTGAGATTTGGGTTAATACAGGCCCAGAAAACTCGGGTAAACTGATGCTGGTCTAAAAATCCACTTTGGCTAATAGCTATACTCGTCCCACCACTAAAGTCACTCCCCACAGCCAGGGTAAACTGCCATCTCTTCTGCTCCTGAGAGAAAGGTGGGGTAAACAATGGGCTGTCTTTAGTGGCTGGGTAAACTTTCTAACCATCAAAGGATTCGATAGCTTTGAAAGGATATGTACAAGAAAAAGCTCTGCTAGGGAGAGTGGAGGGGTCCTTTTCTGGTCTCCTCTAGCCTGAGACTGTACAATTCTAAGACACTCAGAAAGAGATCAAAGTGAGGGGCCTAGAGGATGCCAATGAAGCCCACCCGGAAAGCCCCCTAAAAAACACAGGTGAAAGTCTTACCTGGGAAGCCTTGTTCCTCCCTTCATACAGCAGCAGCTCCTCTGACAGCAGGAGGGTTCGGGCAGGGTTACAGAGATCTAGAGGCTGGAAATAAAGCAGGCTGAGTGGGCAGTTCAAAGAGGCCGGGTGAGGACTGGGGGAGGAAGCCGCAGCTTGTCAAAGCCAGCCACAGAGAACTCTCTGACCTGAGAGAAAACTGTCAGCCCGCCACCGACCGAAGAACCCACATACCCCCTCATACACAAGATGGAAACAGAAAGACAGACGCTGCTGTCCTGTGGAACTGTTGCTGCCACCTTCCCCATCAACCCTCATGGTGACAGCTACATGCACTGACAGGAAGTCTAACCACAGGCTTAAGCCCTCTGCGGTCCTCAGCCCCAGCTCCCTCCCCCACTGCACTGGGTTCCTGGGCCCTCCCATCCCCCATCTATCCTGTTCATGCCTCACAGGACTAGGAGGCATCCTGAGAGCTACATGCCAAGAGATTTGGTCATTTGAGTCCCTTCAAGGCCAGGCCAGGCCCTGCTCTACATTCATAGCACACTTGAACTGACTATCTCCTTCTCAGCCAATCCCCCAAGAGTCAGTTCTCACCCAAACCTCTTACCCTACCCCATCACCTTATCCAGCCCAGCCCAGAGGAATCTCCCTAAGCTCTGGATTACCCAGCAGGACTTGTCCTTATGACTATATACTTCTAACTTGGCTTCTAAGTACATGAGATCAAGCAAGGTGCTTGAAGAAAGATCATGAAACAAACAGCAAGCCGGGCCTGAAATCCCAGCTACTTGGGAGGCTGAGGTGGAAGGATCATTTGAGGCCAGGAGCTCAAGGTTACAGTGAGCTATGATCATACCACTGCACTCTAGCCTGGGGAAGAGAGTGAGAGACTGTATCTTTTCAAAAAGTAGTTTCTTATACAAATTTAAAATAAACATGAAAATTAGACAGAGGCCAGGTGCAGTGGGTCATGTCTGTAATCCCAGAACTTTGGGAGGCCAAGGTGGGTGGATCACCTGAGGTCAGGAGTTCAAGAGCAGCTCGGCCAACATGGTGAAACCCCATCTGTACTAAAAATACAAAAAACTGGCCAGGGATGATGGTGGGCACCTATAATCCCAACTACTTGGGAGGCTGAGGCAGGAGAATCACTTGAACCCAGGAAGCGGAGGTTGGAGTTAGCCAAGATCGCACCATTACACTCTAGCCTGGGCAACAAGAGTGAAACTCCATCTCAAAAAAAAGGAAGAAAATTAGACATTGTAGATGCCAAGAACTTTGTATCATGTGCTGAGAAAGAGAAGAAACCAACAGAAAGACCAAGACCAGGCCCTGCCAACAGAGCTGTCTAAGGAGAGGCATGTGACCTCCCAGAGATGTGTGACATCCTAACTAAGCGTGCCTACTAAACAGTGACAGGATCACACTGGGATGCCAGGGAGATCAAAGAGGCATAGGCAGAAATGAAGCCCTTGGGGCCAAGCCACATTTATGCTGCTGATGAGGCGATAAACCATTAGAATCTTCCTGCAAAGCAATATGTCAATATGTGTAATGAGCCTTTAAAATGTTTACGACCCATGACCCAGTCATTTCCCTCTCAGGCATCTCTCCCAAGGAAAATAGTCAGAGAGGCAATCCATGTGCAAGGATTTTCATCACAGGGTTATTTACAATAGCGAAAGAGTAGGCAGAAGTATCTGAATACAGAACTGGTTAAATAGAGTATACTCATATAATAGAAGAGTGTGTAACCCCCATAAAACACAGAACATTTAATGGTATGGGAAAAGTTCATGCTACAATTTTCATTTTAAAAAGGCAGTATGATATAAAATATAGAATAAGATCTGGTTTTTAATGTGGGTATGCACACAGAAAAGATGCTGAAATGTTCACACTGTTATATTTGGGTGATGGAATAAATAAAGATTATTTTTAAAGAGGAGAGATAAATGGGAAGGAAAAGAGGGAAAAAGATGCTGGAGTGTGGTGTTATGATCACAGCTCACTGTAACCTCAAACTCTTGACCTCAAATGATCCTTCCACTTCAGCCTCCCAAGTAGCTGGCATTTCAGGCCCAGCTTGCTGTTGTTTTATTATCTTTCTTCAAGCACCTTGCTTGATGTTGGAGAATAAGAGAGTTATAGTGAATCGCAGGCCATCAGTGAATACCGGCCAAACATGTTTGCAGAGACCAGGGAGACAAGATAAGGTACAGACCCCAAGGCTGTCTCTCCCTCAGTTGTTTCCAAATAAAAAACCACTGGGTAAGCCAGGAAGCCTCGGCAAACAGGCCCTGTGACATGGCAACAAGCAGCTGGAGTACACCTGCCCTGTTCCCCAAGAAAGGGGAGGTGAGGTGGGGGAAGGAGAGGATCCTCTCCTTGCTGGGCTCCCCTGCCCTCACTTTTTCCTGTATATCCCCCTGGAAATCTCCACTCCCTCAGTATAAGCCCCCAGAATTCTGTGCATATAAAGCTACTCATCTTTCCCAAAACAGGGCTCTCAGTCCTGGGATAAGGCATCATCCTGGAGTCCTGGAGCAAGGGCCCTCCTCTTTCTTACTTTTTCCTGAGGGAACCCTTAGGGCCAGCCATGGGCTCACCTGAACAAAGACGGGGAAAACCAGGACTTTGGGGGCCAGGGTGACATAGGTGCCATAGCTTGAGTGTGTGGCGTGCGGCCTCATGACAGGGCAGTTTTGGTAGTTCCCATGGCCCTTCATGGTCTGCACCGTCTTCATCAGCCGGGACTTCTTCCCTAGGCCCGTGTAGGACTTCCCTTTACTGGGACTCCCTGATTCTGTGAAACAGACATGGGAAACAATGAGCCACTTCCATCACTCTGGCAAAGGTGTTCCCTCTGTAGAAAAAGGGGACATGGACTCCGTCAACAACCACTTACTAAGCAGCTACTTCGTGCCAGGCCCTGTGCATGATGCTGAAACACAGGAAGGCCTCATCTGGGCTCGGGCCTCATCTGGGCTCGGGCCTCAAGGAATTCCCTCGCACTCTAGTGAGAGACATTGGCATGTAAGCAAGCAAGTCAAGGGCTAGCACAGCGCTGGGAACTACCTGCTATGACACAGACAGCACACTCCACCTGCTGACCCAGGCCCCAGATCAGACTTTCCAGTTTGGCCTCACAGTTTTAAAAAGCAAGAAATCACCTGTAATCCCAGCACTTTGGGAGGCCAATGTGGGCAGATCACCTGAGGTCACGAGTTCAAGACTAGCCTGGCCAACATGGTGAAACCCCATCTCTACTAAAAATACAAAAAATTAGCTAGGCGTGGTGGTGGATGCCTATAATCCCAGCTACTGGGGAGGCTGAGACAGGAGAATCACTTGAACCCGGGAGGTAGAGGTTGCAGTGAGCTGAGATGGCGCCATTGCACTCCAGCCTGGGCAACAAGAGCAAAACACCGTCTCAAAAAAAAAAAAAAGCAAGAAATCACTCATATTTAAAAAATCAGAAGTTCTGGCCTCACTAAGCCCACAGTCCCACGTGAAACAATCAGTTGGAGCAGAGTGGTCACCAATCTTCATGGCAGGGCACGCGCTCTCCTCACCAGATCCCCACACCATTCCCACCACTCCCTGCACAAGCTCAGCCCAGCCCAACCTGCTTTCTCCTTCCCAGCCCCACAAAGATCCACTCTCTGTGGCAGCAGCAGCAGCAGAAACTAAAGGCTATCCTGGGATGTACTGGAGACCTCCCTCTGTAGCCAAGGAAGCTAGAGCAGCCTGGCCCACTCCAGTCAGTCTAGAACAAGGAGAAGCACTTGCTGCCCCAGGTCACAGTAAAGCACACAAGCTCCGAAGCCAGGTGGCTGTGATCAAATCCTGCTCTCTCGTTTACCAGCTTGGTGAGCTTGGGCAACTTATTTCACCCTCAGAGTCTTGGTTTCCTCAACTGTAATAACAGTGCCAAACTCACTGGGCTACAGTGAGGATTAAATGAAATACTCTAAGTGAAGTTTTTAGAACAGTGCCTGGTACTCAGTAAGTGTGTGATAAAAGTTAGCTGCTAATTTATTGTTGTTTCATGATTCTGATTTCTCCACTTGGAAAAGCAAGTTTGGAAGTCAGGTGCCCCATAGGACTCTGGGAATCTCAGGCTCCACTGCATCCAGGAGGTACTCTGGCCTGGCCACCAACTCACAAAGCATTCTAATCATAAGGAGAGAGAGAAAAAAAAAAACAGAGAAACAAGGCCACCCCCAGGGAGGAGAGCAGAGGCTGCAATGGCAGGGGGTCCCTCTTTAAGGGGACACTGATGGACACATACCCTCACCCTGAACATCCCGTCCAGTGGGCAGAGGGACAAAACACAGTCACTAAAAAGTCAGGGGTTCCTGGACCAGGCAGGTAGGAGGGGAACTCCAGAGCAGTCAGGCTCCACGTACTCCTTCTAAGACAGTCCTGCTACTGCATGGACAACTACCAGGTCCTCACTGACCTGGGAGCCCAGCCTGGGTCCTGGGTGCAGGCCTCCCTCTGCCACTAGTAGCCCTGGCAATGAGGGGGGAACAGGTGGCCTGACCCCAGCTATACCTCAGGGAAGCTCCCCACCAACACACACCCACGGCCTCAGAGGAAAAACTCAGCTCAGAAGGTTTCGCACTTGCTTCCTCCTCCCACCCCTTGCCCCTTCTCACCGAGCAAGGTGAGAAAAACAAGTTGACTCCCCCCATACCCCTGACAAGTGACCACTGATCACAGACAAATCTGGGGGCAGTGTTCAACCCATGATAACTCAAACCACTTCCTGCCTCTTCTGTGAGTCATGTAGAGAGGAGTAGAATGAGCATGTGCCCAACTCTGTTCCAACTGATTGCTCCATGTGGGACTGTGGGCTCAGTGAGGCCAGATCTTCTGATTTTTCAAATATGAGCGATTTCTTGCTTTTTAAAAGCATGAGGCCAAACTGGAAAGTCTGATCTGGGGCCTGGGTCAGCAGGTGGAGCGTGCTGGCTCCGTCACAGCTGGTGATTCCCAGCGCTGTGCTTGCCCTGGACTTGCTTGCTCACAGGTCTCTCACTAGAGTGCAAGAGAATTCCTTGAGGATGGGCACTGGAGAAGCAGACACAAGGACGATGTCACATAGCTCCTTGTCTGATCTGGCCCCACACATCACACCCAGAGGGGTGTGTACTACCAGGACCTGGACTCTTTGCTTAAAGCACCATCCTGAGTCTCGAGATTCTCACTGAAATTGAGTTGGATGAGACACCCGAGCTTGATCACTGATTTCCCAAGTCACAGTCTGTGTGACCCTGAACAGCTTTCTTCCTCCTCTGAATCAAAGTTTTCTCCACTGGGAAGTGGAGATGATACTGATTGCTGCCTTGCTTGCCCGAGGGCCAGTGGGAGGCTCACACAAGAGACCAGATGGGAAAGAGCTTGGTGGATTGTGCCACAGTGTGAGTAGTCAGGGGAATATCACAAACCCTATGCCTCCAAGTGATCCACTTAACAGGGCTGGTAGATGATAGGCAGGGCTGCTGGGTCTCAAACTGTGCTGTGAGGGAAACCCTGTAGACAGTCTAATTTAAAATGGCCAAGCCTAGAGCAGAAAGGCAAAACCATGCAGGACTGACACACAGGGGACCGGAGCAAAATAGACCAAAATTAAAGATGGATACCACTTGTGGAGGCCAAAATCTGGGTCCTGGGCCCCCAGTCTCTGACTTCTTAAAAAATTGATTTCTTCCCTTCTCTAACCCGGGAGCCCAGGGCTGTCACAGAATCCTCACCCAGGGCCTCACCTAAGGCATCCGACTTAGGTGGAGCTGAGGTTGGCTCAGCTCCATTTTGTAGACAAGGAAACTGAGGCTTAGAATGATAGGGCAACTGATCATTTGGCCAGTAAATTATACAAGCCAGGATCAATCCAACCTATGTAGCAGTCATACCCTCGTGCCCAATCTCCACCCACCCCTGGATAATATGTGGCCAGTGGGAGTGGCTCTGCAAAACTGTTTTTTTGTTTTTGTTTTTTTCAGAACAGTCCAGCTTGCAACCCAGTTACTGAGCTACGTGAAGGCAAACTCATTTACTTGCCACCTGCTACCAGTGTCTGGTCCAAACCCCCACATCACCCTTTTTTCCTCTAATACCTGCTTCACTGACCAAATACAGTAATTACACGGCTTTGCTCCCAGATTCTGAAGCAAACCCTGGCAGCCATCCTGCCCTGGCAGTGGCGAATCTGAGGCTGGGTCACCTTATAGGGCAGGGACAATGCTAAGGGCACTAGCAGCCCTGGGGAACATGCCAACCACAGCCAGAGAGGCACTCCAGGCTCCAGAAGGGCACCAGACCCTATTCAACTCAGGATGGCTTAACTCTCCCTCCTATTCAACTCAGGATGGCCCAACACTCCTGAAAGGCTATCTCTTGGCAGCCCAGCCAGAGGAGGGGGACTGAGAAGCTGACACCCTGGTGACAGGCTTCCTTAACCTCTAGACAACCCCAAGTGTGTTTAAGGGAAATTGTGTGCCCTGAATTTCACCCTTTCCTCTGAACCCCAGAACTGTGAGCTACAAAGACTTGATCCCTGATAAAGAGCAAAGATTCATTATTATGATGAATACGTAAAGTAAAGTCAACATCTTAATACAATGGATTCAAAGAGCTACCATGGTTACTAATACCATCATCACTTCCTTACTTGTCCCTTTCCCAATGGCTTAGATGACTGTGCCCTTGCTGACTTACTATGTATTATACTCTCAGAGGGGACTGAAACATGGATACAGGCTGGGAACACAGGGAGACACAGAGGTACCTCTCAAACAGAGAAGGAATCAACCCCAGACACCGGCCTGTGCGCATGGGCCCCACTGCAGGCAGCACACTCTCCAGACCCCTCCTCTGTGACCAGATTCCAAAGCCTTACAGGCAACCCGAGTCATTCTCCTTCAGTCAGTCACACAACCAAAATTCTACTGGGTATCTGCCATCTGCCCTGGATCCTGTACTGGACCTACAGAAATGAGCCAGGCCCAGGCCTGGACCTGCATGAAGTCCCTACTCAGCAGCGGCATATCCACTCTAACCTCATGTGCCAACAAAAGCTTTTTAAGAACTCATCGTTGATGGAATACTACTCAGGCATAAAAAGAATGAATTAACAGCATCTGCAGCAACCTGGATAAGACTGGAGACTCTTTTTGTAAGTGAAATACCTCAGGAATGAAAAAGCAAACATCATATCTTCTCACTGATATGTGGGAGCTAAGCTATGAGGATGCAAAGGCCTAAGAATGATACAATGGACTTTGGGGACTTGGGGGGAAGAGGGGGAGAAGGGAGAGGGATAAAAGACTACAAATAGGGTGAGTATATACTGCTCAGGTTATGGATGCACCAAAGTCTCACAAATTACCACTAAAAATCTTACTCATGCAACCAGATACCACCTGTCTCCCAATAATCTATAAAAAAATAAAAAATAAAATAAAACTCATCATTGAATCACTGTCAGACTCATCTCCAGAAGGAACACAGATTCATTTCCAACTGACCAGGCTCAACTGCCCAAATGCCCCAGACCGGAGAGAATGAAGATGTCTTCCATCAGGGTCCCTGAGCCTGAAGGGAGTCCTTTAAAATCACAAAAGGCACAAGCACCACTTTCCCAACTACCCTCTATAAGCATCACCTTCACAGAACTGAGAGGGGAACAGCAAGGAAGCAAGTCCGCAAGTGGCTATGCAAGAGCCACTGTCAAGGAAGGAAGTCCAGACACCAGCTGGACTTCTGAGTCAAAGCTCTCTGGCAGGCACTCGAAGGATCTCAAGGGACGCCCAGCCAGCTTCAGCCTCAAGACTGATATGTCAGCCTTCCTGGGAGAAGACAGTAGTTTCGAGCTCAGCTTCCATCCCTGGCCAGGATTTAAAAGCCAAAGGAAAAGAATCCATCCAGCAGCAGAGACATCTGTGCACTTCAAAGACAGTGACCCTCTCTCTGTATAGCATCTCTCAGTATACAGGCAACTACTCATAGTCAGTCTCTCATGGAATCCTCCCAACAACCCTCTGAGGTGGGAATTATTGACTGCATTTTATAAACAAAGAAACTGAGGCTCAGTGAGGGGACATGACTTGCTCAAAGTCACATAGCTAGAACTCCAACTGAGACCGCCCAGCTCTAAGCTCCATGACTCCCTTCCATGCAAGCCCAACCACGTTGCCTCTGGCACCTACATATATCTGTTGCTCAGTAAAATTGGATGAATCTCAATTGAATGCCTGAGTCCTGGACACTCTGTCTCTTAAACTGCCCTGGTAAGACCCACCTCTCTCCTTCTCATTTCTGGCTTCAAGAAAGAAAGACACCGGTTCCATGAGGGAAAAAAGGTACCAAGTGGAAAGGGAGTCTGTGTCCACAGGCTGAGTGACCTTGACTCCATTGGAAAGGCCTCAGAACACAGAGGTAGAGGCTGAACCAGGCCTCAGCTGACCCCTGCTGTCTCTCTGAGCTAGGAGAGCACAGCAGCAGCAGTAGACTCACCTTCAGGGATGGTATCCTCTTGGTACACAGGCCGGAGCAGCTGCAAGGGAAAGACAGGAGAACCACCTCAGCCCCAGGAGCAGGGCAGGACAGCCCAGGAGGCTGCTGGACACGGGGCCCCAGGGGAGAGGAAGTGGGGCACCTCAGGGCACAAGAGAAAAATAGCAGTTCTGGTAACCACCTGAGGGAGGAGGCTGGGAGGGAACACAAAATCCCAGAATATTAGAATTGAAAGAGGCTTTATGGGTCATGAAGTCTAACCCCTTGGCAAGTCCCCAACTTCCTCTACAGCAGCTCATTCCAAAGTGCATTCCATGGAAGACTGGAATGGTAAGACAGTAACAACCACACCCTAAAGGGTGCCCCCATCAGGCAAGTTTGGGAAATTCGGTGTTAAACCATGTTACACCACCTGCCGTAGTACAGGATGCCAGCCCTGGGCACACTGTGAACCTCTAATAGGCTACTTTGCAGTGGGAATTTCCTAGATGAGGAAGAGATTACAGGGTATGTCTCAAGATTATTTGAGACAGAACACCTTTTTCCTAGAATATCTCATGGGACTGTTTGAGGCAGTGCGCTCCTTCCTCCCACCATGCAATCAGGCAGTGTCTGTCTTCACACTTCCTATGATGGGGACTCACTACCAACCAAGGCAGCCCATTCCACTGGGAAAAAGCAAAGGCTGGTAGAAAGCTCTTCCTTCTGCGAGTTGAAATCTTTCAGCCTGTGCATGCCCTGGTCTTGGATCTGTGCCCTGAGGCCACAGAGACCCATCTGTCCTCCCCACCACGAACAGCCTCAGAGAAGCCAGAGTTAGCACATACCCCATCTCCTTGCCCAACATCACAGCCCCTCACGGGCTCCTCATCACACAACTTTGAGTCTTCAAGTCTTCCTGGCCTCCCACAGGGACCCAATGCCCTTCACCTTCTCCACACCAGCTGTCCATACCTGGCTCCCAGGGTTCAGCGGGGCCAGGATGATGTAGTTGGGGTCGGTGGGGGCAGTGGCACGGGACAGTGCAGGCAGGGTATGCTGGCCCCCACGCTTGGCCACCTCGGTGTAGCGCTCCCAGCCGCTGAGCAACAGCCCATCAGAGCTGTCACATACCAGGTGGCAACTGTGGCGCTGCTCGGGCCGTGCCTGGGCCCCATGGGTGCAGTTCTTCTCCCGTTTGTTGGGGGGTGAAAGGAGGTCATGTGATGACTTGCAGGAGGCCCGCCGCAGGACCCCACCATCTGGTCCCGGCTTGACCTGGGGGACCATGCGCCACACGAGTAGGATAATCTCACTGTGGCAGCTCCTGGAAGGAAGGTGGGGGATCACACAGAGAGGTTGAGCCTGGGGAAAACCAGTATCAGCCAGAGCGAGGGCCCACAGGGCAGGGAGGATGATGGAGCGGTAGGGAAAGAGGAGGCAGACGCTGGGGAGAAGCCCCCAGTGTCAGGGCAGGAAGGGATGCAAGAGGCCATTTAAAGAAGAGACAGCAAATAAGTCACCTAGGTCAATTCCTATTGACTGGCAGTGGCTGAGAAGGACCCTGAGGCCAAGACCAGGTTCAGCAGGAAAGAGTTCCATACTCAATCCATGATGCTTGTCATAAGTAAGATATAAGCAAGTAAAGCAAGCAGGTCACCTAAGGGCAAGCCCTCATCTAGTTATTCCAGAAGTAGACATAAAATGGGGCCATGGGGGTTTTACCCCAAGGGACCAAAATTCGGGAGACGCCAACATTTTCAAGAATAATATTTTAATTGTGCAACTGAAACATTTGCAACGTCTTCATGTCCTTAAATAACAAATGGACTTAGCTCTTAGGTAGCAGAAACAATTAGCTAAAGCAGAAAGCAATCCCCTGGTGCCCAGTCCTGAGCCACAGAGTCTGAGAGCATCTTCCCTACTGTTTGCTCTGGAATCCAAAAGTGCTCTGAGCCTGAACCTTCCATTCTCAGGCCGAGAAACGGATTCCTTGAGCAGAAGGAATTGCCTGCTCACAGCTGGGCAAAGGAGGGAGCAGCAAGAGCTGGGCCAGGGAAGGCAGTGTGCCCAGGGCTGGGGTGGAGAGGGTGTGCTGTCAGCCCAAGGCGCGGCCCCCTGTCACCGGATCTCGTGGGCCAGCTCCACACATTTCCAGTGCTCCACAGGTCTCTCGTTCAGCTGCAGTACCGTGTCCAGCTGCTGCAGCCCTGCCCGTTCTGCTGGGCCCCCTGCAGGGACAAAGAAAAGCCATTCAGGGGCCCCTGAAGCCCAAGACCCCTTCAAAGGACCTGGAGTCCTTTGCTGCCATGGTGATCTCAGACAGGAACCTCCCTTTTTCTCTAAGTTTCTTCATCTGTGAAATGAGGGGCTGAACTGGGTGCCTCTCAAGAGCCTTGAAAGAAGGCACCCCTTTGCCTTTCCTCTTTCCTGCCTGCCTTGCCCTAGTGCTGGCTCACCTCTCTGCTGTCCACCCTTCCACCCAGGCTCTTACCCCTCCCCAGGGCCTCCTATCTCATTGAGAACCTTCCCCGGGGACAGGATCCCACACTTCATTCATTCCTTCTCTGCCAATCATTGTGCACCAGCTTCATGCCCACCCCTGTGCAGGCACTGGAAACACCCTGACCACTGAGCCCTAGTTTCTGTCTTTGAGATGCTTACTCTGTGATGAAGAGAAATCTTCCTTTGTGAAAAGTAGGGAAGGATGGCTATTTTTAAGTGCTGATCAGGCTCAGGATAGGATACAATATCAGCTTCAAACAGAGTTCACAAATGACTCTCATTTTCCCATGCAGCCATTGCTGAAAATATAGGTTTAGTTCCTGTTCAAACTGATTGGGAAACAAAATATAAAAACCTATTTTCATTTTGATAAAAACAACAAAAAAATGTGGGCATATTTTCATAAATGTCAGTTTCATCTACGGTCACTTAAAAATATTATTCTTTTCCTTTTGAAAAGCCAGGACACTGCGCTCCAGTCTGGGGCTCCCCCTTTGGTTCCAGCGTCTGTTTGCAAAGCCGATGTGTGTGGTGGGCAAGTGGGGCTGGCATCCCGCAGTCGCTCACTTACCGGAATCCACAGCCTGTACTCGGACGGGAGAGTCACAGCAGATGGTGAAGCCAAAGCCGTCCTTCCCCCTCGGGATGGTGATCTAGGACACAGGTCACTGCCAGTCACTGCCAGAAGTTGGAGGCTGCTGCCTCTACCCCAAGATCAGGAAGCCCAAAGACCAGCCCTGACAAGAGCCACCATCCTCTCCAAGGGAACTGGAGCCACAAAGGAGCTCGTCAGCACCTCACTGACCCTATCTCAGCCCAGACAACTTGAGCACTGGGTGGGCCAAGCAGGAAGGCCCAGAGCTCAGCAGGCAAATCCAGGCTGATGTGGGGAGGGCCTGGGATAGACAAGGTTTTAGAAAAGCAAACCTTTCCCTCCTGAGCCCCAGCAGCCCCAGCCCTTGACCCAAGGGCCCACCAGCACTGCATGACTCAGCCTCACCTCTGATCCACTGTTTGCCTGGCTTCCTTCTTCCTTTCTCACAGAGGTTCACAGAGCATTAGCCTGGGGCTGGCCTTGTGCTAAGGGCCCAAAGACAAGGCCAGCCTGGTCACTGGCCTCCCAGAGAACAGGAGAGGGAACACTGGGACAGACACACTCACTGTATCTCAGGCCAAGGGTCAGAGGAAGAGAGCTGGGATTCTGGGGGCCAATCTGTGGCCAGGGCCTCAAGGCATCCAGTGAGGACTCCCAGGTAAGGGGCAGGTAAGGTCACAGATAGGCCTCCTGGCTGAACCTGAAGTAGCCACTGACTCATATGCCTGCTGAGTCCCATGTGCTTGACAGGTCCCCAGTTCCTACTTTCAGAAGTCCATGAGAAGGCCTTGCCGTCTGGATGCTCTTTTCAAACCAGCACACAATTATTGAGCTCCTACTGCATGCCAGGCTCTGCGGACGTACAGAGCCATGCAGCCTTGGTCTCTGGCTCCCAGAGGCGCATGATGGTATACAAACCTCTCCAGAGCAAAGCAGGGCACAACTGGCACTAGAGCAAAGCAGGAAGACTGGGCCATTCTCAGTCGTTTGTGCTCCAACTGTGGATGCCATGCTTGGCACAAGGTAGGAACTCAGCAGAAACTAATGCAGGGAGGGCAGCCTGGCAGTGTCCCCCCATGGAAGGATACACGATGGTCTGCCAGCTCATTCCAGCTGCTAAGGTAGCACAAATCAGAAAAGGGATTTGAGGAGTCCCAAGAGACCCCCTAGAAAAAGTAGGACTTGGAGTAGGTCCTGGTGAGGCACAGGGAAGGGTGCCCCAGGCAAGTTGAGAAAGAGGCCAGCTCAGCAAGCCTGGAAAAGGTCAAGGGTGCCAGCCTTGTCAGAAGACTTCTGTCTCCTTCCTTTAAGAGTTGCCTCCACAAGACTGGGCACCTGCATACATTCACTTGCCAACCATCCCAGGGCCAGGCATGAGGAAGGCAAGCGGAGGGGGCCCAGGGTGACCAAGGGCCTTGGAAGCTGCAGGGACCTCTGAGGCTCTGCTTCCCACCAGCCCCGGGCCTGGATTCAACGCGAGTTTGTAAAACAGGAAATCTGACAGACAAGGGGAAGGGGGAGGGGGCAGGAAAATACCCCGTTCCCATAAGAATTCTGGGAAAACACGCAGCTAAGACAGGAAGAGAAAAAAATGGAAAGAAAGAAAGAAAAACAAACGCGGGTGCGAGTGTGGCAAGCTGGGAGAAAAGAGCAACCACTAGTTCCCGGGCCTGCCTGAGGCCAGGGAAGATGCCAGGAGCCTGGCCCCTCCATGAAACTAGCAGGGAGTTTTTAGGGGCCTTATATGCCAACCCTCAACCCAAGCAGAAGCCAGGGTCCCAAAGCCTATCTAGCACTTCCCCACCCAGGGCCAAAGCCCCCTGCATAGAAGACCCATCCCAGCATGCTGGGCTCTGGAGGGCCAGTTTTGGGGAAGCAGCTGAAGAGTGGGGTCTAGGGAGGAGCATGCTCCAGAAAAACAGCCTCCTCCTCCCACCCAGACCCTGCATCTAAGCAGGACTGTGGGCAGGGGCCCCTCACCCTCCTGGGCACCAGCCTAAGAAGTGCCAGCCCAGATCACAGTCCAAGCCAGCTGGGGGTGTGAAGGAGGGGAAGAGGAGAAGGTGCCAGGAGGCAAGCTCACCTCCTAGCTCAGAGGAAACAGAATTATGTTCTGTCCACCATGATTGCTGACCATAGTGTCCAAAGAACCTGACCATCCCTGCAGCCCTGAGGGGGATGAGTATGCTCATTTTACAGACAAGGAGATAAGACCCAAAGTAAGTGCCACCCCCTCCACCCTCCCCACTCTCAGCCCTGCCGTGACCAGGAGGTGAAGGGAGCAGCCTGCCCTGACTCCTTGGCAGCTCCTGATGGCCTGTCCTTCCTGCGGGTGGTTCTTGCTCCTTCCTGTCCAGGACAGAAACAGCCGCTGCTCCCAGGTCTCACCCATGCCAGCCCCTCACTTCTGCTCTCCTGCCTAGTTTCTGCTCCTCTGTCCTGCCTACGCTTTAATCCCCAAATGCCACATGTATTAAACACCTCCTAGCTGTGCACAGCAGACCCTGAGCCAGGCTCTTCACACCCATCATCCTATTCACTTCTGTGGCGCCATCTCTGGATTTCATTATCCCTATTTTCCTGACTAGGAGATAGAGGCTCAGAGAGGGACAGTGACTTGCTCAAAAGCCACCGCTAAAGAGGAGCAGAGCTAGATTTGAGCTCAGACCTGACAAAAAGCTTGCTGCTCTCACCTCTGCACTGGTTTCCAGCATAGCAACCGTCTTGAACTCTGAGTCCCTGAGCTCTAGGTCCAGCCCACAATTGATCCTGGCCCCACTCTGACTGCCAGCATGCCCCATCTTCTAGCCCGTGGCCTCAGGGTGACCAAAGACTTCTAGATGTTCCATCTAGTCCTCTCTCTGTCTCACCACTCTGCCATTCAGATGCTGGTATTGCAGGGGCTGCTTTTCCCAGCTCCAGGAAGGCAGGGAATACAGAGTGGAGCCTGCAGGGCAGAACCTGAGGGCTGGGGAGGACTGTGGAGAGAACACTGGGTCCCCTAGCAGGCAGGTTGGGGGGGTACAGGTGGCCTTTCTGGGGATCTCCCTGGAACCTAAGCACTGCCTGTCAGAGGAGTCAGGACCCACAGTCCAGTCTGGTCATTAAAACAAATAGAGGGGCTTCTCTGTGTGATTTTTTAAATCAGAACAATTTCAGAACTCCCTTCCAGATCAGATATTACTTGCCTTCACCACCCCTGACCCCACTCCTATTTTATGAGAAAAAATGCCCCATCACAGTTCCAGAAGAGGCTCAGTGCGGGCCAATGGGATCATCATGGCCCACTCTGCCCCCTTCCAAGACTGGAGGCTGAGAGGCCAAACCCTCGCTGTAAAGTTAGATTCCAAAGTCAAAGGAATCCTGATCCACAGTGAGGCATCAGCGGGAGTGGGCAGGAAATTCATGCGCATGTACATATATACAAAAACACCCCATCTCGCATACGAGCACAGGCCAACACACACGCACAGAGGGCAGAATGGGCACTGCTGTCCCGTCAGAAGTAGGAAAAGTTAGCAAAAATACAAATTCCTCTCCCAGCTGCTCAGCAACCACGGCATTTTCAATCTCACACCCACAGGCCCTCCCCAAATAAAAAGAACAGAAAGCCAGCTGGATTATCTCATCAAAAACACCACCCAGCCAGTGGTTAGGACTCCACACAGACCTGGGCCCTAAAGAGGCCTTGGGTCCAGCTCCTTCCTTCTCCCGATATCAAAGTGAGCCTGCAGGGAGCAGGAGGGGGCACAGGCGACCTTGTGGGGAGCAAGGTCCTGCTCAGGTGGTCCCTCCACCCTCATCCCAAACACCCCACAGCCTCCCTATAAGGGGCCAAGGACCCACCTGGCGGTAGCGGCGCTCCGAGCACACCTTGCAGAGCCCATTGAAGCGGTTCATGGCTGCAGGTCCTGCCTCAGCTGCTGCCCCATGAAAACCCAACTCTCCCCCAGCAGCGGGAGCCCACACTGCACCCGTCAGCCTGGCATGAGCACCCTGGGAAGCCCGCCCCATAGAAGAATGGCAGGAAATCACCTCTCACCTCCCCAAGCCCTGTCTGTACTGTGTGCCTCTGCACGATAAGCCCGAAGGCTTCCTGAAACCTCAGAATGACAAGGAAGAGGGAGAGTTTTATATTAAAATTCCTGTCAACTAGTTAGTATTCCCCGGGCCTGGCGGGGAGAGGGCGCCTTTGTTCTGGCTGCATTCTCCGCCATGGGCCACTTTGTGATTCCAATGTTCTTACAAACACCCCTCACTGGAGGAGAACCCAGGCAGAAAACGCAGCTGCTCAATAACAGAGTCTCCTCTCCCTGCAAGTCCCAGGACCCCCACTAGAAATCCAGGAGACTACCCCAGCCTAAAGAATCCAAGGACACCTTGTGAGGGGCTGCACTCACAGACATCCATCTCAAGACAGGGAACATAAAACATTTGGAGTCTGAAGACCTGCCTGCCACTTGGAAACTACTTAAAAGTCAGTTTCGGCCAGGCACAGTGGCTCACGCCTGTAATTCCAACACTTTGGGAGGCCGAGGCAGGTGGATCACTTAGAGTCAGAAGTTCGAGACCAGCCTGGTCAATATAGTAAAACACTGTCTCTACTGAAAAAAATACAAAAATTAGCTGGGTGTGGTGGTGGGTACCTGTAGTCCCAGCTACTTGGGAGGCTAAGGCAGGAGAATCACTTGAACCCAGGAGGCAGAGGTTGCAGTGAACCACGATCACGCCACTACACTCCAGCCTGAGCAGCCGAGCAAGACTCCGTCTCAAAAAAAAAAAAGAAAGTCAATTTCTTTGTCATTTGTCCATGGAAGTGAATTGCTGTCAGGATCTGGTGATACATGGACCATAAAGTCAAACGTGGAAAAAATTTCCAGGTCAACAGACAATCCAGCCTCCTCATCTTACTGATGAAGAAACTGAGGCCTGGAGAGGTTATAGTCAAACAGCAGGGCAGTGTGGGGCTAGGACCAAAACCCAGGTCCTATTTCCTGCCTGGCAGTCCCAGGATAGCATCCTGCAGAGCGGCACGTGGTGAGCCCAACCGATTTTGCCCATCTCAGAGGGCCTGGGGAAGCCCAGTCACTCACTCAAGCCCTTGATGACAGAGGCCTCCTTAGTCCAGCCCAGCTTTGCTTTCTGTGTTACTGTGGGCAGGTCACCTAGGTTTCTGGGCCTCCATCTCCCCAACTACACAGTGCAGGAGCTGAAGAGATGGCCTCCAGGGGCTTTCCCCCAGCCCCAACCAAGCCTCTGAAAAGCACGCCCTCTTTGCTAAGTCCCACAGACATCTCTGAGTTTGCAAGCTCAGGAAAATCCAATGTACCACAGAACAAGGCCCCAGGGCTCCAGGCCTGTGTGCAGAATCCAGCATGCAGCAGGGCTTTCCAAGCCACCAAGAAACCTATGGCGTTGGAGGAAGCAAACCTATGGTGTTGATGCCCATGTAATTTCCACGAATCCCTGGGGAGTTCCCCTGGTCACCACCCTCTCCGTGCTTGGCAAGTACAGAGAGAGGGAAAAAGGTCTTTGTAGTTCCCCACAGAAGCCAGAGGAAAGCTTTTCAACTCCTAATGAATCCACAGAAAACAAACCTGACAAGTTACTCCTGGCAAGTTTCTCTGTCTAACCCAGTGGCAACTAGACACATGTGCCAGATAAACTGAAATTACTTAAAACTGAAGTTGACACTTAGTTCCCCAGTCACACTAGCCACATTACAAGTGCTCAGCAGGCACTGGTGGCCGGTGGTCACAACACTGGCCAGCACAGCTCTAGACTGCTCAATGGGCCAGGCCTTGGACAGGTCCATGGCTGTATCACAGCATCCAGCACAGGGCCCAGCCCACCTAGGTAGAAATATTTAATGAATGATGAATGAGCGAATGACTTGAATCAGTGAAAGTGAAAATGTTTGGTAGATTGTAATACACTGATATTGTGTAATATGTACTGTCAGGCACTACAGCAACGTCGTATATTCCCAGCTAGGCCACGCATAGGAGGCAGTGCACCACAGCACCCTGAAAAGGCAGCTGGCCCTCACTCAGAACCTGCCTTCACCACCTGCCAGCTATGTGGCCGTGGAGAAGGTCTAACGCTCTGAACCACATGTGTCCCTCTCATCTGTGAGATTCAGAAGTGACAGCTGCCTCAGAAGGGACAGTAAGGATTAGGTAACAGTACCTGGTACACAGAGGCTAATGAATTGCTGGGAGTTTGTTTCTCTCTCTCTCTCTCTCTCTCTTTCTCTCTCTCTCTCTCTTTAATTGACACAGAGTTTAGCTCTGTTGCCCAGGCTGGAGTGCAGTGGCATGATCTTGGCTCACTGCAACCTCTGCCACCCAAGTTCAAGTGATTCTCCTGCCTCAGCCTCCTGAGCAGCTGGGATTACAGGCATCCACCACCACACCTGGCTAATTTTTTGTATTTTTAGTACAGATGGGGTTTCACCATGTTGCCCGGGCTGCTCTTGAACTCCTGACCTCAGGTGATCCACCTGCCTCGGCCTCCCAAAGTACTGGCATCACAGGTGTGAGCCACCATGCCTAGCCAAGTAATTCCCTCTCTTAATTGTTAAAGAAAACCAAAGATCTCCTGCCATGCCCTGCAGAGATGGAATGAATTTTGGAGAATTCTCCCAACTCCCCTACGTGAAAAAGGCTCCTGTCCAAACTTGAAGCCCTAATGGAGAACCTGTTGGTCTCAGGTTCAAAATCACAGCTGCCCCCTGACATCAAGCAAACCTAACCTGAGAGGGTGATTCGGCCTCAGTTGCAGGGGAAGCAGGGGGCTGAGAGGGGGGTGAGAAGGGGAGGACTAAGTTTCCAGAGGCCAAAAGTTAGTAAGATCCAGATGTTTGCATTTTCAGAGGCAGGGGCCTGGCTCTCTCCCCACACCTGCCATGATCACGGATACCCTGAGAAGAGCATTTATTTCCTATAACATACCTCAGGAAAGTCAAGAAATCATTCCTGCTGAGTGCATGACTGGCTGAGTTTCAAGCACCAAATGCTGTCCCTTTAGGGGTTTCCTGGGCCCAGGGGCTGACAAGGAGCAGATGCAGCCCCTGGAGCAATGCCTTAGCTTGTCCCCACCTACCTTTAGTTTCTCCCCATTCTCAGTGTCCCCACTTCCTGGCATTCTCAGCAGCGGGTCTGGAAGGCAACAGAGCAGAATCAGAAAGCTACTGGTGGCACAGAAGGCTCTCCTTGGACCACCCAGAGGACAGTACTGGGCAACAGGCTCATGGAGCTGCCCAGGGCCACTCCTGGCCTCAGGATATGAGGACACCTGAGGCTCAATCCAGACAGGGACTCAGGGGCCAGGGCTGCATGTGGGAAAGGCAGAATAGGAAAAGGGCCATGAAATCCATGTTCTGAGCCTTGGAGATCATAGCAGGGCCTAAACGCCCTGTCTATAGAGGTGGGTACCCCAAGGTGAGCAAGGCAGCCTGGGGTATCCCTGAGACACGAGCTGGGAAGGAGCCATTGGGGAAGCATAAAGTACCCCATAAGCGAGGGAGCTAAACCACAAGGGGTCAGGCCATAGCCTGTCCAAGGAAACAGAGGAGGCATGGGCAAGAGGCTGCCTGCTCCTGAGAAGTTCCTGCACCTAGCAGCCTGATAGCATTTGGGAGGCAGGGGTCACCAAATACCAGGACTGATGCCACTGTGCAAGAAGGGAGGGAGGGGCAGGTCCTGGGAAGGGAGGCTGAGGTGGGTGTGCAGGCACCTCTCAGCAGCTGCAGTCGCCGCGTGGCCACCTTCAGGTGCTTGGTCCGGCCCAGGTGCTCCCCTAGGAGGTAGTACCAACCACTGATCTCCTGTCACAAGAGAAGGAATGGCACGCTCAGACACAGGAGGCAGAGGCACAGGAGGCAAAGGTAGCCACTGATCCCCCTCCACCAGACACCCTCCCACAGCAGAGACAGACTCTCCAGCCTTCCTGCCCCTGAGCTGCCATGCCTGCACCTCCAGGAAGCCTACTGTGATGCTCGGGGCAGAATTGGCTCTCCCCTCTGCCACATTCCCACAGCCTCTTATCCCTGGAGGACAACCATCTTCTTGCCTGTCTCCCCCACTAAGTTGTGCATAGGCTCTCTGATGTGCCCCACACTATGCCTGGTATACAGTAGGAGCTATATTTGTTGACAGAAGTGAGGGAGTGAAAGAGGGATGGAGAGGCCAAAAAGTCGGCATCCTGTGGTTCCTGAGCAGTCTCCATGGGGAACATCTCTTCCCAGGAGAACGAAGCCAAGGCTGCAGTCAAGAGAAGCTCTTTAGGACCCATGTGCAGGACAAAGGGTCCTCAGCCATCCACCCCAGGACACAAAGCTACGTGGCAGGCCATGCCACAGGCCACCAGGACATTTCCAGGGATGTACAAAAGGAAGTCTCCCCACCCTCCACCTTCCAGTTTGGGGGATGCAGTACAGAGTAAAAATTGATAAGTGACCCAGAGGGAGGATTCTTGGGTCCCAGAGTCCTCCTGAAGCCTGAAAAAAAGCTCCACAGAGGCTGGTGCTGCTCACTCCATCCCTGAGCACCTGTCAGGCCCAGAAATATCAGGCCTGGTAGACATAAGAAGAGGACCCCTGGAACAGACCATGGAGGCACCTGGCCCTCCTCTTCTGGGGCCGGCCCAGGAGCACTCTGGGCCCCAAGGGATCTGCCAGTATCTTCAATAGCAGATGCCAGACTCAGGGCCTCCTGGGAAGACTTGGGCTGCCTAACAATGGCTCTCTGGCAAGACAAACCAAAAAGGGGACCAAAACCCTCAGCTAGGCAGGTAACAAACATAGTACTTCTATGCAGACAACCCCAGCAGGCCCCTGTCTCAGTGGGGTACCATCTCACAGAGAGAAATCCTGCCTGTACCAGCACCGGCCCAGGTGGCATGATCCTGACAGAGCATCCCTAGGACCCACCTTGTCCGGAGTCAGGAGAGACTTCATCCCAAAGCTCATGCAGCCAATGAGTCCACTCTGTCTGGGAGAACAATTGAGGCTTGAGTCAGCACTTTTTCTTGGGTTCTATCAGGAGGTCCATTATCAAGTATAGCATGAGTTTGCCTGATGTACTGCAGTTTACAAAGCACTTTACCCACATCATCTCATTTGATCCTTCTGACTGTGTGAGGCAGGCTAGAGAGGAGCTATTATCTCCATTTTACAGAGGGAAAAATGGAGACTCAGAGTTGGTCCCTTTCCCAAGATCATAGGACAAGTTCAGCAGTCCCTCCACCAAACACAAAAGCTCAGAGGTACTTCACGAATTTTAACTGCTCCGGTGCTTGGTAGATCTGAAGAGCTGGTCCCCACAGGGAACCTCCTTGCCCACATCAGTTAGTGATGCTCAGTGGAGAAGAATAGTTATGGGACTTCAAGCTCAAGAATTTTTGTCTCAGGTCCAGGAAGGAGCTGAGCAGTTCTTAGAAGCCTACAGATCAAGGTCCAAACCAACGTGACACAAAAGTTGCTGAGACCAATCTGACCTGGCTGCCAGCAGGGCAGGTAGGCATGGGCCAGGGTCAGGCCCCATGGGGATGTCAGACTATGGCAAGGGACTAAGTTCAATCTGGTCCCTCTTGATTAAAAAGAATTCACAGCTGGGCATGGTGGCTCATACCTGTAATGCCAGCACTTTGGGAGGCCTAGGCAGGTGGATCACTTGAGGTCAGGAGTTGAGACCAGCCTGGCCAACATGGCGAAACCTTGTCTCTATTAAAAATACAAAAATTAGCCAAACATGGTGGTGCATGCCTGTAATCCTAGCTACTCAAGCTGAGGCAGGAGAATCACTTGAAACTGAGAGGTGGAGGTTGCAGTGAGCCGAGATTGTGCCTCTGCACTCCAGCCTGGGTGACAGAACCAGACTCCACCTCAAAAAAAAAAAAAGAAGAAGAAGAAGAATTCAGAGTTCCTGAAGAATGTCCACCATTGAGCCTCAATGTCCAACAATCAGGGACTAAGAGTCGGCAGCTTTAATAATGACGGCATGGGCCAGGTGCAGTGGCTGACACCTGTACACCTGTAATCCAGCACTTTGGGAGGCATCACGTGAGCCCAGAAGTTTGAGACCAGCCTGGACAACATAGGGAGACATCATCTCTACAAAAAAATTTTAAACTGGCAGGGCATAATGGCATGAGCCTATAGCCCCATCGACTGAGGAGGCTGAGGTAGAAGGATCACTTGAGCCTAGGAGGTCAAGGCTGCAGTGAGCTGTGATTGTGTGTAACTGTTCCTCCCTCTTGGGAAGTGGCCAAGTCAGCTCTAATAGGAGGCAGTTGCAGGGACAAAGCAAGACCCTGTCTCAAAAAAAAATAATGATAACATCAATTAATATTAATAAAGTCCAAAAATATCTTGCTATTGTTAGAGAAAAGGAAGTTTACAAAGCTGTAAATTTAATGAGTAATGTGAGTTTAATGAGAAAGACATCCACAAAAATACTAACAGTGGTTATATCTGCTAGGTGGGATTACTAAGGGTTTAATTTTCTTTTATGGGTTTTCACTGTTTTCATAGGGAACAAGTACCCTTTTTGTAATCAGGGAAAAAAAAGTATCAATCTACTTTTAAGTACTTTTATTGTGCCACATCCTGTTCTATCCTGACACTAAGGTTTTTTTAACGTTTATCTTTCTGTTCTCCTCTTTTTTACCCCATCCTCAACTTGGACTCCTTCACAGGTTGGTTTAATAACTATTAATCAAGAAGCATCACGGATATTTAGGCTGGAACATAACCCTGGAGGCTGCCTTTAATATCTGAAGGACCCACAAAAATGAGAGATTTGGCATGTCCTGTGGAAGGCACAATATCAAAGCCAAAGATGGAACAGGCTGCTGGCTAGGTAGTAAACTCCCTAGTCTAAGGGAGTTTACTTTTCCAGAACCTGGTCTAAGGGGTCCTGAGTTAGGGCAGTGGTTCTAACCAGAAGTGTGCCACAAAACCACCTGAACAGCCTGTCTGAGTTCTGTGCTCCAGGACTTCTTCCTGAGGACCCAAAACTAGTTGGTCCAAGGTAGAGCTTGGACATGGGAGCCTGGAGAAAGCTCTCCAGGGGATCCTGCCAAGCACCCACTTATGCCTGCCCTAGTCAGTGATCTAGAAGGTCTCTATAAAGACATATTGTTCAGATTCTCCGGAAAGGGTGGCAGCTTATCACCTGACAGTCCTAAGCAAAACAGAACTAGCTTCTCACAGGCAGCCAAGTCAAGCGAGGGGTCAGGAGGCAGAACGCTGGGGGATTGCTCCTCGAAACTGGTCCACCTGCCTGCAAACCCATGCTCTGTCCCATGGCACAGGGCTGAAGCCCCTGCGTCTGTCTGTCTCTCAACAGCTCCTCTCAGCCCATCCACCACTCCTCCTGCTCCCAGTTCCTCCAGCCTTGGCTCCATCTGCTCCCTTCTCCCTTGCTTCTCTCATCATCCAAGGCTCTATTAATAATCTATTCAAAAAGGACAATGCACTCACCCCATTAAAGCGACCCTTCCACATCCACCTCCCCAGCCCACCGCCAAAAACAAATACTCCTCCCCCTTGGGATGTAGCCAAGTCAGCACTAACAGGAGACAGTCACAGTGATCATCAGAAACAGCCAGGACTAATCTGAGCTGCCATTCCAGAAAAGCCTTGGCAAGACTCCGCCAAAGTCCTTATACCAATTTCATTTTGTCACACATTTGAGAGAAATCCAGCCGCTATTCAGGTGCCTACACTACTCTGCTGTATAATTTTCTTTCATACTGGGTAGGGCTGAAACTTTCTAAATCTCCAGGCCAATGCATTAGCTGGGCAGCCTCTCTCTGCTCTTCAATAAGTGAAATTTTCATTCCTTGGTGCTTAGAGAATGTTAAATGGTTAATAGCCTCCCTTGAGTTTTACTTCCTGCTAAGGGGCATCCCATGATTTCACGATAACTCAGGCAGAGTAAATTGCCACAATTAAGGTCCATAAGCAGGAACCTCTAAGTGTTCTTCAATTAGCTATTCCTTATGCCTGCTTTTAAAAAATCTTTGGAGAAAGAAGGACTTATTTTAAAGCAACCTGAGTATATGACAATACAGCAGTCAGTTTA